GCAGCGCATGGGCTTTTCTGGGCTTTCCAGTTGATGCTCTCATCCTCAAAGGCGCTTAAGTTGCCTTCATTGCTGGCCTTGCAAGGGTTTGCACGGGCAGGACTGTGGTGCTGCTTTTCATGACTTCGTGTTCAGGAGCAGTCTACCTTATACAGTGGAGGACACTTACAATCATAATTGGCGCTAGCCTTTCCATTGCTAAGCCAAGTGAGTCGCACCCAATTTTATGACCTTGTTGTTATGCCCGTTAAGTGAATCGCTGCAATTGTTAAGTGAATCATATGGTCATTGAGTGAATCGGGCTTCTGCCATTGACTTTGCATATTGGAAGCTGGCTGGGAAGGTCACGTGACCCTGGGAGGCTGCAACCATCATAAACACAGGCCCCAGTTGCCAAACGGGCAAACTTCGATCGTGTACTCTGGGGATGCTGCAACAGTCATAAGTGTGAGGACTGATCATAGGTCACTTTCCCCCCTAACCTGTGAACATCAAATGAGTGCTGGGTAAATGGTTGCAGGCTGAGGACTACCTGCCCTGCCAGAGGCTGAGTGCTTGCCTGGGGGGGTGGGGGGGCCTCCAGACTTACCTGAGATTTGAACCTTGGCATCTCCAAAGGAACAAGGTTTGGGAGAACCAGGTTAAGGGACTTCTTTCTGTTAGGGGTTTGGGGTCAGAGCAGGTGATGCTGGTAAGGGGATCGGCTGTTCACCAGTGTCCTTGACTGCCTTTGGGCCCCACAGCAGATCGCTTCATTTTGGCCGCAGATTTCCCAGGCACCAGGGCCTCTTTGCAAAGCCATGATGGGTTGTGCCCGGGAGACGGCCGGGGAGGTGGGGGGACACAGAGGGGGCCTGGCCCGCTGTGGCCCACCAGGTTGCAAGGAATCAAACACAAGTCTGACCCACCACAGCTACAAAGAGGGCCGTGCTCTTACTTTTCTGTGGCTCAGCCAACAGGCAGGTTTAAGCTCCAGCCTTGCCATCAACTCCAGGGGAGACGATAAGAGGTTTGTGAAATCCCACCCCAGCCAAGGCGATCCATTGTCTAAGCACTCCTAAAAGACCAGGTTGAAAAGGAGGCTGTGTTTTTAAATAACATCTAAACAGCTATTAAGAGCTCGGTGGGTGGCAGAAACGGGCTGGTAATCCCTTGGAGGGCTGGGTGTGTGAGGGCGCAGCGCCTGGATGCCGAAGGGATTTCTTGGGCTTCCTCCTTTGGGTCTCTTTCCATTTTAGCTGGATTGCTCATCTTTATTTTAGACCCGATTACCCCGGTGACCCCCTCAATATCAAACAGACTGATCGGCCTTGTGCAGATGGTGGGGAGTGCAAGGTCTGGTTTTTGGCTTCCCTCCCCAGGCGTTTTATTTGATTGCATCAAAGCCAGTAAAAAGAAATAGGCGTATGTAAATACTATTAGCGTTGCAGTATCAAATTAGATTTATTTATTTTTCAAGAAAGAGGCGTAGAAAATAATACAGAAACGGAAACAAACCCAGGGAGAGGATACAGGATGAAAACACTGCTTGCTTGTGCTTTCATGAAAAGAAATGGCAATGCGGATCTTGATAAACAATGTACAGATCAGATAAACAATGATAAACAATGTACCGATCTCGCTGCAGATCAGATACAGATTCATGTATTATGTAATAATTTATATAGCCAGACCCATCTTGCCTGGGGGCCAGGGACGAGAGGGAGGGGGAGTGCTGCTTTCTGCCACGCTGAGGGTCAGCGGGTGATCACTGGTTTATTTTTAGAGGCGCCTCCAGCTGTGGAGTCCGTAGTTCAACCATAGTTCTGACTTCGCTGAGTGATGCATTATTTGTATCGGAAGCATCACAATTAAAATAAGGCATACTATATGACGTCAAATTCAAAATATAAAATGCAAGATTAAAATATGTACAGGTTAAACAGATCTGGCCCAGAAACCAGTGACATTAATTGCATTCTGTCATGCTGCCATGAGCTCCTCCAGCGCACACTGATCGGGACACAAAGGGCAGGGATATGTATGTGTTGTCATCTGCCTGTCATCACAACCGCAAAGGCCACGAAGCCACCGGAGAGCCCCATTTGTTCAGAGGGTCGTCTTGTCCCCATCGCAGCCCATTCAATAGTTTCCATACTTCCTGGCTTTGGCTGGTCCCAACTGCCAGCTCCTCCGTCGGTTCCACCCAGTGCTGGATCTTTGCAGCTTTCCACAGATCCCCCCGGCTTCCAAATTCTCCAAAGTCTTCCGTGGACCTAAAGAAGCTTTTCCTGGAGTTCGGTCTCTGGTGAGAACTGGTTGCAAGGCGTAGAAAGGGCGTTGTCTAGATATTGATGATTTAAGTCTCTCTCTCTCTCTCTCTCTCTCTCTCTGCATGCCGGTGATTCTCTGCAAACAGCAGGCAGGGCAATGCCAGCTAGGTGGTAGATCTTATCTAGAGGGGAAGCTTTAAGGCATCCAGTCATAATTCTGCTAGCTTCATCCAAAGCAACATCTACTTTCCCAGCAAGTACTGATTTATACCAGACTTTTTTGGGGGTGGTGGTGGTGGTGGCGTATTTGCCTGCTGAGTAGCAAAGAGCTGGAACTGTTGTCTTAAGGTTTGGCACCCCAGGCAGAGCTCTTTCATTTCCCAGGGAGGTTATATCATCCACTGACCTTCAGTTTAGTTAGGGCCCAATCTAGAGAGGGCCTAAATACTCAGGCCTGTGTCAAAGTGGTGCCTTTCTATCCCCAGAAGAAATGGTGTGTGCCTTTGGGCCTGGTCACCTTGCTATGTTTGTCCACAGCTCAAGCCCCGGTGGGCAAGCAATGCTGGTGCTCAGAATTTGGGGCTGCTCAGTTAAGTTAAAGGCCGAGTGCCCCAATTTAGGCTAAGTTTTAACAGTGGTCCTTCTTCGTACCTTGGTATGTTGCGTGAAGCTTGCTCATTTGATTGGGTTAGGATTAACGTTCGGTCATGGAGGATATATTCATCCAGAGGAACCAGAGTACGTGCGTTGTGTGGCTCCAGCTGCCAGTTTCAGTCTTGAGCAGTCCCAGGAACCCCCCCCCCCCCAATGAAATCCTGGGTGGATGGTGTGGCAGTCTGGGCTAATAATTGATGCTGCCCCACCCCCAGTTGGAGCCAGTGGTCTCTGTTTGAAAATGGAGTAAAACGGATCCGGTTTTGCTCAAACCCGCCTTCTGCCCCCACACTATGCCCCCCTCTTTCTGTTTTGGGAGTGACTGGGTTCTATGATTGATAAATCCACAATAATGCTGCCCTTCACACTGGATTGCCCGGTTGGTGTATGCCAGGTGCTGCAATGGTTGTGGTATCAGTCATGTGACTGCCCTGGGCACTTTCACCTCTTCCTTGCAACAGACTTTAAACATGTCGGCTGTGAGTGAAGCCTAAGCCGTCGCTGAGGGGTGGAAGGGAAAGAGAAGGGGGCCTTGGATGGGAGGCAGAGGATTGTCCTGGATTTGGGGCTTGTTCTCCTAAAGGAGAAGGAAGGGCTGGTCCGGAGACTTCTGCTTGGCTGAGCTGCACACTAGCTTCTCGGGCTCCCAACCGTGGCAACTTAAATTAGGTGGACCTCAACTCCCAGAATTCCCCAGGCAGTATACAGTTTGTGGGCTTTTGCTCCCAGTATACGAGGGATTCTCAGGTTGGAGTCCAGGTTCTCCAGGATGGCTGGAGAATTCTGGGAGCTGAAGTTCACACATCATAGCATTGCCAAGTTAAGAAACACTGTCCTAAATGGACAGAAATAAACCACAGTAAATCTATGAAAAACAAGTCCAACTGTGTTAAGAGGTCTGTTCTTGTGCGGCGTAAACCTTGTTCGATTTAACCAAAGTTAACTTTGGGTGGAGTTGTAAAGCTTATGATGCATAGTTCAATACTGCTGTAAGTGCCCTGCATTCAAGGTAGGATCCACAATAATTAAAATCTGTCATAACAGATGCATTCTCTAGCATTAAAAGATGTTAAGCCACACGGCTGAGGACTGGCCGTTGTTGATTACTGTGAACTGGTGACAGTATGAAGATTGGGTCAGCCTTGGTGAGCCATTCCACAGGCCAGCCCTGCCCAGTTGCATCTCCGGAGAGGTTGGATCATAACAGTGGCATTTAGCGCAGGCCACCATGTCTGGAAGACAGTGACTTCAGGAAAATGGTCACCTCACAGTTAATAACAGTGCATGCCCCTTGCCTTGTCGACGACGGCTGCTCGTCCTGGTTTACAAAAGGGCAGTTGGGCTGAGGAGAAAGCAGCCCATCCTTCTCTCCAGCAACCCGCCCGCCGAGTGACGCTCCCTGAGTGAAGGCAAAGAAGCTCTTCTGAAAAGAATTGGACCCTTCCTCAGTCTAGGAGGGGTTTCGGGGAGGGGGGCACTTGCAGTTCAGGGCCTGGCCTCCTTGGCCAATTGGGCAGCGCTCGATGGGAAGGGCCTTCCCTTCTGCCACAGTGCAGGGTTGCTGCCCGTCAGACCAGGAAAGGTTGGGGCTGTGGAGATTTCCTGCCTTTTGCTGCTGCTGCTGCTGTGTGTGTGTGTGTGTGTGTGTGTGTGTGTGTGTGTGAAATGGACCCTTGTTTGCCTGCTCAGTCTGAAGACACTTAAACATAATTTAATAGATAATCAGAGTTGGAAGGGACCTTGCAGGTCATCTAGTCTACCCCACCCCACCCCAGGCAGGAGACCCTACACCATTTCTGACAAATGGCAGTCCAGTGTCTTCTTGAAAGCCTTCAGTGATGGCGCTCCCACAACTTCCGAAGGCAACTTCTCTTCCATGGTTGATTGTTCTCCCTGTCAGAAAGTTTCTCCTTATTTCCAGGTTGAATCTCTCCTTGATCCGTTTCCATCCATTGTTCCTTGTCTGGCCTTCAGGTGCCTTGGAGAACAGCTTGACCCCTTCCCCCTCTCTGGGGCAGCCCCTCAGATATTGGAAGGCTGCTCTCCTGCCTCCCTGGGCCCTTCTCTTCACTTCTCCCCCCTCTGTGTTCCCAGGTGCTGCTGCGAAGGCGGAGAATGAGGAGAAGCGGCTGAGTGTCCAGTACAAGGCCGTAGAAGACCAGCCGGACAACGTGTTCTTCCCCAACAGCCGCCCCCCCCATCTAGAGGAGCTGCACATCCAGGCCCAGGCGGGGCTCAAGTCCTTGCAGAACCAAGGTAGGCTGACCGGGTTGGTGGGGTCGCCCCTCTCTGATGTGGCAGCTTTCCTTGCTTAGCATCACATCTCAAAGCCAGCAGCCTCTCCCAGCCTGATGCGCTCAAGATGTGCGACGGGATGGAGAATCCCAGCTGGTGTGACATTGAGAAAAGTGGTGCTGAAAATTCAGCTCCTGCCTGTGCATCCATATTTGAATTTGTGCATGAAGAACACAACCTTTGTAAGGGATTCAGGTATGTCCCCTGCAGGACTCGATTAAGCTGCCCCAACAGGTGGGCCTGCAGGAGCTGGGGAGCCTGGCCCTGTCTCCAGTCGGGAAATTCCTCTGAAAATCCAGCTGGAATCTCCTTCCTTTTAGTTCAGGGGGGGAGGCTACAATGGCAGTTTCCTTCTGTGGCTTTTCAGGCCCGTCTCATGAGCCTCTGGCTGCCCCTTTGCAGTTTAATAAGGGCTTTAAATCCCGTGAGACTCTGGCAGCATCGCTCTATAGAGCTCAAGCAGGAGATTGTGAAAGCTGCATTTCTGCATTTTCCCGTGAACTCTGGGAACGTCTTCTGTTAAGAATGCCAGAATCCTCCAAAATTAAGCTGAGCCTGAACTTGCCATTGTGGGAAATGTGTGGCCAATTCTTGGCTTCACGGTTCCAAAATTTCACTGATCTCTTGGGATAAAATTCATGGGTTTAGTAAAAATAGTACCCTTTTAGAGTGCAAGTGCAACATGGAAGTTTAAAAGTAGGCCTATATTTTTCCTCCCAGAATATAAATGCACATGAAATGAAATGGGGGACGGGGGGGAAAGAACAAATGCATTGTTTGCCATTCCCTGGTTCAGTGTGTTAATTGTGGGGGTGTTTTCCCCGCTGTATTCGTGATTTGTGCAGGGGCTTCTCCGTGCACCTTTCAGAGCCCGGGAGTCCGGCCAGGGTCTCGCAGAGGGAAGGTCTCCTGCATCGGCTGCTCAGGGTTGGCGAGGCTGCGGCTGGAAATCTGCCCTTCTTGGCTTCTTTCCCAAAGGCCTATTTTGGGGGGCCCAGATGCTCCAAGGCCCCCCAAATAAGGCCATGTAATTGGGTGCAATTTGGGTAATGACGGAGGAGATGACGTCACGGAGAGGACATTCCTCCCTCAACTCTGAAATGGTTCTGCCTTCCCTAAACAGAGCCCCCCAGGGTGACGTTGTGATGGCACTGAGGGGGGAAGCCGCACAATGGTGGGTTTTGAGGGGGTCAGAAGGTCCTCATCTGAGACGGGAGCTGTCGAGGGGTTTGCTTGGAGAGCCACTGAAGTGCGATATCGTGTGACTTCCTTGCTTAGGGACGGCAATCCCAGCAATCCTTATTCATGTCATCATCGTTAAGCAAGGACCCGTGGGAAGAGGTGGGCGCACCAGCTAGAGCTGCAGGGAGGTTGTCCATCATGGAGCGCAGGCAGGCGGGCCAAAAAGTGGCAGAAACCGCTCGTTGGCTTCTCCGACTGTTTCGCCTGTTGGAAACTGACAGGGAAGGTCACACAAGATGATGGTGTGACCATCCTAATTATGAGCTGGTTGCCAAGTACGTGAATTCTGTTTGTGTACTGCAGTGTCAGCAACCATAAGCACAAGTGGTAGTAGATACCTCTTGTTTAGCGCTGAATGAGTGGCTGTAGCCCGAGGACTGCCTATAGGTACTCCCTTGGGCACCCCTATTCTTTGGCCCTAACGTGCTCCCAACTCTGGGAGTTGAAGCCCACAAGTCGTAAAACTGCCACGGTTAAAGGCCCTCTGCGGTAGAGGCGCCTCGGAGGAGGAGGAGGCCCCAGACCCAAGTGGATTTCAGGCCAGGGTTCAGCAGAGGTGGCCTTGAAGCAGGAGCAGGGGTGCCTCCCCCCCCAGGCTCCCTGGTTCTTCAGGGCCTGCCAGTACCTGGACCAGCTCCAGGGGCTGGGAATGCAGGTCCCCCAGATTGCAGGGGCTTTTCCTGCCTCCAGGACCTGCTGTTGTCCGCGTTGTGGAGGGAGAGGCTGCCTTGAGAGCAGTGGTGGGACTCCCAAGTTTTTTACTACCGCTTCTGTGGGTGTGGCTAGGGGGTGTGGCCATGTGACTAGGTGGGGGTGGGGTTTTTTTTTTTTTTGCTTTTTGCAGCAACCCCCCCCCCCAATTTTTCTGGGCCTCAGGCAAGCCTCCTTGGGGGGAGGGGGGCGTTTCTGTTCCCAGAAGGCTTCCCTAGGGCCCAGGAAGGCAAAAAATTGAGGGGGGGGTTTGCCTTCCTGGGCCTTAGAGAGGCCTCCTGTGTGAAGCAGTAAGACAGAGAGGGGAATCCCGGCACAGCTGATCTTGGGAACAGCTGATCGTTGGGAGTGGGGGGGGGGGGAAGAAAGCCCTTAGGGGGGGCTGGGGGGGTGAGTGTCAGGTGGGCGGGGCAAGCGAGCGAGTGGCAACCAGGTCGGGGTCATGGCCAGCCAGAAGCTACTACTGGTTTGGTGACCCACGCCAAATCCTTGCTACTGGCTCTCCTGAACCGGTGTGAACCGGCTGAATACCACCACCGCTTGAGAGGCGTCCCCCCTTTTACTCAACCCCAGCGTGCAACTGCTGGGCGAGCTCATCTGCAGTTGGCACTCCTCAGTCTAGGATGCTGCAAAGTCTGTTTTCCACATCCAGGTCAAGTGGCTGGCGGTGGGGTGAACTGAACCCCGGATGGTGCCTGCCTGGTGATGGCCTTCTGGGAAGCCATAAGGACCTGGCTGTGTCCCAGGCCTCCAGTGGGGTGTGTGTGTGTGTGTGTGTGTGTGTGTGTGTCCCTTCTTCCTATTTATGGATACTTGGTGTGGATTGGATTACTGTTCTGTTAATTCTTGTTTGTAGCTTCACTTACTGTATTTCTCTTCTCTTCTGCATTTTTATTTAACATTCTGAGCTGCCCAAACTTGCTTTGGAATTGCGTGGTGCCAAAATGGAATACATAGTTTTGAGCTGACTTTGTTTATAGAAGGCGTGGAGGGCCCGTCTCCTACTGGGGGTATTTTCCATTTCCCTTTTTCCTCCTGGCGGCCTCCCCTGCCCCCCCCCGGCCCCCCAGTTTGGAAAAAAGAGGAAGAGGCTCTTCCTGTGGGTTCTGACTGAAGTGGGAGAACCCAGGCAAGCTGCAGACCCTGGAAGGCAGGAGGGAGCCCTTACCCTTCCTTGCAACTAAGGAGAGCAAGAACCTCACCCAGGAGAATTTACCTGGAATCCTTTTCCCCTTTGAAGTAATGCTCCGAACACACGGAGTCTCTCCTGCAGCTGAATGAGAACTGGTGGGAGGAAAGGCACATCCGGCTTCCTTCACAAGGCAGGTTTTAGGTTTAGACTGAGGACACCCGGTTCTGGGAGTGTTGCGCATGCACACACACACACACACACACACACACACACACACACACACATTTGGTTTAGATGAAACCTTTATCTGCTGGTGGCTCCGCCCTCCGCGGAGGCCAAGCAAGCAGAGTCCTCTGCAGCTACGCAGAGCAGATGGGCCGGGCGCAGAGCCACAGCGGAGTCCAGGCCTGGTGGGCCCAACTCTTTCAAAAGCCAGAGACCTCCAGCACCCTCATGCTGGCCCCCAGCGCAGCTTCTGGTCACCAGTGGTTGGGGGCTTGCAACTCAAGGGAGCTTCCAGTGTCGCCATCTCTGTCCTCGGAGTCCCCCGATGAGGGTTGGGGGCCCCCCAGGCCTTCTCGAGCTGACCCCTGGCTGTGTCTGTCCTGTTGCCTTTTAGAGAAACAGAAGAAGACCAGGAAGATCTGGGACCACAGTGAGACCAGCAGCGTCCAGGTAAGTCACCTGCCCACCTCCCCCCCCCCACCCACCCCCTGTTTTCTCACCGTACTGTGCCCACCCCGTGCAGCAGCCGTGCCCTTCTTGGGCCCTCCCAGGCTTGCTGGACTACAGCTGCCCTCCTGAGACGTCCCTATTCCTTGGCCCCAGCGTGTCCTGCAAACACACAGCCCCCTTGGGAAGACGGCTGGGGAGTTCCTGTCTGCCCCTGGAGGTCATCCTGGCCTGGCTGGGAGGGGCAGGGACGCGACACACTCCCCCCCCCTCCAAGCCACCAGAGTGCTGTGCTTGATCTTTGGGAGGGGGAGATTTGTCTTCCCCTCCCTGCCGCATCTCTGGGAATGTTTACCTTGTTTTTAGCCAGCTGCCCTTTGTCCCTACCGAGCGCCCCACGGCCTCCCTTGGCTGCTTAGCCTGTGGCCAGAAGGGGGCTGCTCCCATCCAGGTGCCTCTTTTGGGAAGGTGTTAAAATGCCAGGAATGGTTAACTTTGCTTTGTTTGTCTATTTTTTCCTTTATTAACATGTACACAAAACACTAAGTGACTATGCAACGGAGACCTTAATCCTATGTCATTAACCCATAAGACCAACACCTTTATTGTATAACAGATACTTCAATGCAATCAGCAGTGATTCCTACCCCCCAACATAATATTAAATTCTGGATGAAAAAGCCAAATAATCTTACACTCAGTAACGCTGAAATCCAAAATTATGACTAATGTAGATGTAATATTTCTTTCTCCTTTCTTTATCCTCAGTAGTCTCAGTTACCCAAAATAGCCTTGAGTTGAAGCTACTAATCTTCAATTAATTATAAATATAACCGCATCGAAATGAAATGTATTAAGATTTACAGCAAACTAAGAGAAAAAAAGGGGACGGGGCCCTTCTGGGTGAGGAATGGCATACTGACATGTCTCTAAATGAGGGGAGGGGGTGATAGTGCTTAAAACCAGGACTCTGGGCAGCGTTGTACCACGAAACCTTTCTGGATAAGAAGATGGGAGATCATCCACTTGTGCTCCAGGCAGCTGTTCCTTGTGAGGGGACGGCAGGATGGGGCGCTTTTGAGCACCGGGAGGTGAAGGGAAGCCATCCATGCTCTCCAGTCAACCATAGCAGAGCCTTTCAGAGCCTTTCGGCTTTGCTAACTCCAGTTTCCACTACTTCCAGAAATTACCCGTTTAACTATCTTAAGGCTAACAGAGTTCTTTAAAAGTACCTGGTGAGTTTATCTTCACTGCAGAATAAAAGAAAAATTAACTCTATAAGTTTAAGAAATGAAAGAATTTGAAATAAGTTGCAAAAAGCTAACCAAGACTTTAATTCAAAATAGTTGTAAATATATTAAAGACAAATTTTGAATATTAAGACTTTCGTTGTAAGATTTTGGAAATCATTATATAAATAAACAGCACCCTTATGGAAGCTAAATTATACTTTAAGGCATAACAGAAATTTGAGATTTTTATGATTTTAGAAATTGGATGCTACAGTAATGGGAACTAAAGATTCTGAATGAGAGAAAGAAAGAAAACTTACCTTCTCTCTTTGGTCAGCACTGGGACTAAATGACAGAAAATGGTATGACTCCAGGAGATTTTTGAAGAAGGGGATCAAAAACCATCAGCTACAATGTCAGCGATGAGGTCTGCTTCAGTGACAGGCATTGTCCAAATGAGGTTGAAGGAGAAATGGCAGGTGTGAAGTAGAGTATCTTGGAAGATCCACTGATAAAGAGCTGAAAGAAACCTGATCTGATGCAGAAATGCTAAAATATAAAGAGATTGTTGAAACATTGGACAAAATTTAAAAATGTGGATTATAAGACACAGATGACACTTAAAGTGGAAATACAAATGATAAGGCTAGAGAAAGGCAAACGTTTCCCAGTTGCGTCCGACTCTTAGGGTCCGGTGCTCATGTCCCTTTATTGGCGGAGGGAGCCAGCATTGTCAGAAGACGTTTTCCATGGTCATGTGGCCAGTATGGCTACATGGCAAAGGCACACGGACTGCGGTTACCTTCCCTGCAAAGTGGTACCTATTTATCTACTCGCACTTGCATGCTTTCGAATTGCTATTGGGCAGGAGCTGAGGCAAGGAAGAGGAGCTTACCCCATTGCCCAGTGCTGAGGTCTCAAACCTGCTTAACGGTAATAATATAGAGAAGATTTTAAAAAGTAAGAGTATTTATTCCACAGAACAGTATTTATCTGATTCAATACTATTACTACTTTGGAATTCTGGCTTGCTGGGACTGAATAAGCCAGGTAAGGAACCCTCCTTGGCTGTTCTTCAGATACTCATCTCCCTGCACTCAACAAGTTGCTCACTGCATAATATTAAGGACTCTGCATGGTTAGTTAATAGTTTCACAGATAGTCCACACACTCTGTTGCACAGCACTCCCGTCTCAAACCTGGGCTGTCGACTTTCCATCACGCCCCCTGAAGGCAAGAAAATGACCTGGATAATTACAAAAAGATTCCTGGATTTACAAAAGAGATTTGCTTAAGCCTCAAAGAAGAGAAACAAAAATTGAAGAACGATCAGAACAACAATGCTTGAATGAATGAAAGAAGACCAAGAGTGTTGGAAACAAAAGGAAGGAGTACTAAGTTGATTTGATTGAGCAAGGTTAAAACAATAAAGCCCTGGGAACTCATTTGATGGACTTTTTGCTGACACCGGGACTGAAATGTTAATGTTTTATGGGTTTGTGTGTGGATAAAGGATGGCCTATGGGAAGATGAGATACTTACAAAGGCTGAAGAATGATTAACTTTGCTTTCTACTTGTAACGAAGGATAGGAAGTTACTTCTTCAAATATTTTCTTTCTGTTTTTTCTCATTTTTTCCCTCTTTCCTCTTTTCTTTTCTCTAGCACTTTCTATTCTTTATTTCTCTTTTCCTTACTGGGTTTAGTTTGTATTGTCTTTTATTATCATTTTTAAGCATTTTCAATAAAAAAATATTTTTTAAAAATTTTTTATTGAACAAAAGAAAATATTTAAAAACAGTGGTGTAATCATCCTGACACATCTAATTGTCTTTCATAGCTATTTCAGATCATAAATAATACATATTTACATAATATATACATCGATATCAACAATTCTTTATAATCCTAGTCTGTTATCTTAACATCCTTATCTCATTTTAATTCAAATTTTAAGTCCTTTTTCCCAATCAGTAGTAAAACAATAAAAATGATTAAAAGCAAAAACAAAAACCTCCAAGCTGGGTATGTCTTGAAAGCGACAGGTAAAAACACCTGCAGGCTGGTTTTCCTGTAGGATCAATAAGGTGATGGCAGCCAGCGAGCGCCACCTGGTGGGCACCTGCAGTGCTTCTGCCTGGGGCTGGAACTGGCTTCCTCAAGTAATTCTTGATTTCACGAAGGCAAGAAAGAAGAGAAGCAGCCGAGGGACAGATGTTGTCCTGGTTTTCGGCTGCCAAGATTCTTGCCCTGAGCGGTTGAGCCTCAGTCGGGGTCAGAAGTGCCTTTAGGCAGCTCCCCCAAACGGGGCTTTCAGAGAGTTTCACTGGTGGAGGAGAAGCCTTGGGAAAGTATTTCCCAACCTTGATATCTAAGTGGCGTAGGCTTCGACTCCCATCATCCCCTGCCTGGTATGTTATTGAACTTTAAGATGGGTGGAATTCCTGCTGGCCCCGGGGAATTCGGGGAATTGAAGTCTACCCAACTTAAAGTTGTCAAGATTGGGAAACGTTTCCTCAGGACATGCGCATGGATTGTCAACACGGATTTTACTTTCCAAACCAATAGAAAACATTTTAATATGGATTTCTATCAATGTTTTTCCATTTTTGATCGTAGTGTTTGTAAGACATCTTTATTTTCAGTTTGATTTAAACATTATTTCCTTGCTTTTCCTGATTCTGCCACCCACTTTTTTGTCCTCTCTTCTGACAAGCAGTCTTCCCAGTCCACAGAGGGTGATGACATTTCCATCCGAAGCCAAGCCTCCTCGTGTGCCACAGAAGATGCCTCCGAAGACGCCATGTCTGTCCGCTCCGAGATGATCCAGAGAAAAGGTACCACCCAGGGGAGCCATCCTGGAGCAGGGGAGAAGGGCCAAGGCTCTGGGCTCAAAGGAGTCGGGTTCTGAGTCAGGGAGACGAGGGCCGTTTGCCCTCTGGAAGACGGAAAGGGCCGGTGGGAAACTCAGTTGCAGCAGCCTCTCCACCAAAGCTCTGTGGAAGTGGAAGCTGCCCCAGGAGGAGGGATGGAAGGAACTGGGGCCTTTAACCCCAAACAAGAAAAGAGGATGTCCTGTGGGGCCAAGAGAGGCAGCCTGGAAATGGTCAGCCTGTAGCTATAGGAAGGTCGAGAGGGATGTTCCAAGGGGGGCCATAAAGGAGATTCTCAGGCTTTCAAGGTGATGACAGGACAATCACATTTCCATTAGCTTTACAGGAAAGTAGGATGAGATTATCTGGTCGTGTTTCCTGTCTGGTCAACCTGGGCAGGCTGACCTCATTCTAGCAAGTCTGTAGGTACAAATCCCCCACCACCTCCTGTACGACCTGAGAAGTGAGCGAGGGTCCTTCTGAGCTCTTACATAATACAACTGTGGCCTCTCTTGGACCCTTCCCTACGTAGCCACCTTCCCATCTTCCAAGGCCTTTCTCATACCCCAGTCCACCTGCAGAAGACCCAAGAAGCGTGGAATCCTAGCGCATCTATTTCGTTTCATTTCATACATTGGCACACATACTGGCTGGGGTGGGGTGGGGAACTGCCAATCCACGCTGAGGCTTTGCTGCTGACCGTTTCCATTTCCCTTTGCTTGGCTGCTTCCAGGCTCCACTTTCCGACCACACGACTCCTTTCTGAAACCATCCGGGAAGGGAGAAAAGAGGCGGAGGGAGAGGAGGACCACTGTCCTGGGGCTGCCCCAACACGTGCAGCAGGAGCTGGGTAAGCGGCTGGCCTTGCACAAACTGGGTGGGCGGGTGCTGGGAGAGACCTGTGGCCAGAAGGCAAGGCCGCCCCCCAGCAGGAAGCGCCTGCCTTCCGTGTGCAAGCTGGATCCTGGCTGCGGGAGGGCGGAGGGGGCCTGGAGAAGAAGTTCCTGGAGCGCTCAGGCGCAGGTACCGCAGAGGCTGCGGAAGGGCAGACAAGGGAACCGGCCAGTCCAGGGACACAAAGGGCTCACCTAGCTTAGGCCTGGGGAGGGATTTGCCCCCTCCGGTCCCAGAGGGAGCAGGGATTGCAAGAGAGCGTTCAGACTTTTGCAGTGTTAATTCAGCACCAGAAAAATAAACACAGATGGCTGAGGCTTCATTTAACATCTTTATAAACATAGTAAGTAGATTTTCCAATACCGGTTGTAGATTTCTCCAACAGGAAGCAAACTCAAACAGGAGCAGACATGTTACAGGTTCAGAGCTTCGGCAGCAACTCAGGAGCTCAGAAACAGACCTCGGTTTCACTTGAGTTCAGCAGGCAAGCAGGACACGCAGCAGAGGAGAGAGAAGCCGTTTCACTTTCCACAGACAGACGCAGAGCTCAATACAGAGCCACACCTAGGCTACTTCTAGTTTCAGTTTCCAAACAGTCCTCATTGGCTGACTTAGTTGCTATGGCTATTCATTGCCTGACCTTGTTACCAGGCTCTATTCCAGCTCATGAATAGACTCTGACAGGGAGCACTTGGTGGGGCTGGAATTACAGGGGGTCCTCGGCTTAGGACTGTAACAGAGACATAAGTAATGACAGCCATAAAACAGGGCACCAATGTGGCCTTTACCCCTTTTTGTGGCTGTTACTAAGCAAACCATAATGGGTCACTTTTGCTGAAAACCAGAAGTAAAAGCCATCTTCAAACGCAGGGTCCAAGGGACGATGCTGATGGCTAGACGGGCCGACCGGTGGCCAAATGCACCACACCCGGGCATGGGACTTTGGGGCGGGGGTGCAGGTGGCCGTCAGTTCAGAAACTGGTCGTGAGTCCCCTGGAAGCTCCGGCATAACCTTGACTGGTCATTAAATGACAGTCACAAGTCCAGGACTACTTGTAGTTTTACAGAGGGGAAACCACTTTAACCAGCCGCCCACTGAGTTGGCGGCTCAGGCGTTTGTTTTGGGGAGCCCCCCTCATGCCAGGCAGCGTCTCCCTGAAGGCGAGCTGAGCTGCCACTTAGTAGGGCCCAAATCTGGGCTGCGTGGGAAATGCTGCCATTGTTGCTGGTTCTGAAGGCAGTGCAGCCTTTCCTTCCTGGCCTTTAAAGTTACCACCTTAGTGTATAGAGGCTGCTTTAAGCTTCATTTGCTTGGAAGACATTCTCTACACCCCAGAATATAAATTCCAAAATTAAAGCAAAAACTTCTCCTACAACGTGAAATTATGGGCTTGTTCTCCTGCGGAATCTCATTTGTTTTGAGCTGCAGGCAGCTTTTTAGTCCAGATTCTTCTTTAAGGCAAACCTGAATGTCACCCCCCTGTCAGGATTCCGGTGACCCCCATTTAAATCCTGAGTCTTGAGCCAAACTTCCTAAACTTAAAACGGATTTATTGGGAGTTAACATGTCAGGTACTGCCTGGGTGTAGGTGACTCTGAGACACACCATTCATTGTCACCCTTGACCCTGGTTCCCCCTCCACACCCCCTGGGTGTATCATAATTCCTATTCTCCAATGGGACACATCCATAGCCCAGAGTCATCAGTCATGCTCTCCAGTTAGAATTTTGCACTGCAGAAATCTCAGTCGCTCAGAAACTATCTTTAAAAATATTTATGGAATGCACTTTCGATTTCCAAGCTGCCTCACTGCTCCTCCCTTTCTGTTGGCAACTCTAAAAAGGCCATAAAACATATTTTATGAGTTGACCATCGCATTTTGTGGGCATTTTATCTCCTTGGCTTTCTGGTAAGATGCCTGCTGTTTGATCCTTCCCTGCATCCATTTACGGTTTGGACCAGAACTTTTCCAAGGGCCCCTCAGGGAGTGGGTGACCCTCCCCAGCAAGATATGCCCTCTTGGATCAGCCAAGAGAGGGAGGGTGGCTGCCTGGTCAGAACAGCCGCAGGAGGTGCGGGGGTGGTGGTGGCTTCGCGCAGAGAATGCTTAGCACAACTAAACTGGGGCTGAGCGGCCTGCGGCTCAGCTCGTCATAGAAACTCAGCCCTCTTTCTAAGCATATAATAGGAATGAGGCCGTCATTTTATGGCACAGTCTGACTGCCTTGGGAATAAGATCACCAAACGGCCCTTGTATTTAGTGCGTTGCTGGCCCTCACATTAGGGGGGGGGGCACTTCTGGAGGGGTGGAGAGGCTCTGGGAATGGTGTCACAGGCTTCCTCTTGGGGCTCAGTTGGGCATAATTAGGGCCGGAGTCTCACATCACACTGAACCAAAGTCAAAACTAGCCAACAACTATTCTGGCTGGGTTTATGCCGCATGCATAGAGCTGTGAGGGCGCAGTGGTTAGGAGGCAGCATTGCAAGCTAACTCTGCACTCCACTGCCAGCTGTTCGATCCTGAGCAGCTCAAGGTTGACTTGGCCTTCCCTCCTTTTGAGATCAGTAAAACGAGGACCTAGATTGTGGGGGGCAAGAGGCCAACTCTGTAAACCTCTGAAAGACGGCTGGGAAGCCCTGGGAAGCAGCGTAGAAGTCCCAAGGCTCTTGCTATGCCAAGCCAAGCCCAGCTGCGGCCTGGAACTGGGGTGGGTCTCTCCTAAGTTGAGCGAGGCCAGCGGAGCATTTCTGGGTTGGGGGTCCGGCCTTGGCCCAGTTGTCGCTTCCTCAGCCCTGTCTTGCATTGGTGCCCATTTGTCTTTCTACCTACAGGCCTCAGCAACGGGCGTGACTCTGCAAAACGTCCGGGCAGCATTGCCATCAGAGCCGGCCCGAGCCCGCAGCTCCTGGTGAACGGCAGCCAATTGCCCGGCCCCACCATCCAGATCCCCACCGTCGATGGAAAGCCTGTAGGCACCGCCCTTGCCGAGCAGGGCGCCCGTGTCTCCCTCCAGGCTCTCGAGGCCCACGCTTCCGAGGCTGCCCTCCAGCGGCACATCAGCCGCCTCTACTATGATGACTCGGTGCTGGACCGCAAGACGGCGGCCAAGGCGTCTCCTGTGGCCAGGCCCAAGTCCCTGGCCGTCCCTTGGATGACCACCCAGCCCAGTTCTCCCGAGCTGCTCAGCCCGGTCATGTCCATCTCTCCACAGGGTACCTACCTCTCCAAGATCATCCCCAATGCCATCTTGCCACCCATGGTGGACGTCATTGCTCTGTCCTCCAACCGGGTGCGTACCCTCAGCCGCTGCAGCCTGGCCAGTGCCAGCCCGGCCCTCTCAGTGCGCTCCACCGGTCACTTCCCGGCTGCCCCCCGCAGCCGCGAGCACTCCTCCTCCAGCGACAACTGGAGCCACTCGCAATCCACAGAGACCATCGTCTCCAACGCCTCCACCATCTCCTCCCACGGGGGCCAGGGCGGCCAGAAGGACGAGGCAGGGCTGAGTAGCAGGGACCCCCCCGCAGGCAGGCCTGACCGGCTTGGTCCTTCCAGCCCCGCCACTTCCAGAAAAGCCTGGGCCGCCCCCGCCTCTCCGAGCCTGCTGAGGGGGCAGCCAGGAGGGAGCAGCGGTCGAGCCTCACCCGCTAACAGCACCAGCAGCCTGGCCGAGGGCTCGGACGATGCCAGTGTGCGCAGTGACCGCTCGTCCACCCGAAGCGTCTCGCTGCGGAAGAGGAAGGCGGCCCCCTTGCCCCCCCGGAGGACCTACTCCTTGCACCAGAAGGCTCAGCAGCTGGAAGCTGAAGGGGCGCCCCGAGGAATGGGGCTGCCTCCCAAGCCGGAGCGGAGGCCCCAGCGGGAGGGCGCCCAGGGCCCCAGCCAGGCCAGCGAGGATGACGTTTTCTCCCCCGTCCACCTGGGTGGCACCAGCAGCCTGCCCTGCTCGCCGGACATCTCTTCCCAGAGCCCAGGGAGGGTCAGCCAACTGCGGGAGCCCAATGAGGGTGAGGCCCAGGAGCCCGGCTCTCCCCACCGCTTTGGCCGCACCATGTCTCCATCGAGTGGCTACTCCAGCCAGAGTGGCACACCCACGCTGCACCCCAAAAGCCCCCTCCCTCACACCGCGTCCCCGGGGAAGAAGAGGCCACAACCGAGGAAGCCGGAGCGTGTCTGCTCCCTGCAGTCCCCGGGACCCTCCCTCTCTTCCTCCTCCCTGACCTCCCTCTCCTCCTCGGCCTCTGACCCTGCGCCCCCCGAAGGGATGGCCACGCCCACCCCCGGCTGCCCCCAGGCCTCCTCCCCCGCCGCCCCACGTTACGTGGACCGCTTTGTCATCCCTCCCCACCCGAAGGTCCCGGCCCCCTTCTCCCCACCACCCACTGAGCCAAAGAGCAAGGAAGGGACGGGGGCCACCTTGCCCCCCAGCAGCCAGGCCCCCCTGCAAGCCAGCCCTCTCATCAAGGAGGCCTCCCCCCCACCCTCCCCTCCGCCGGCCTACCACCCCCCTCCGCCCCCTGTGAAGAAAGCCGAGCCGAGTGCTGGGGACCCCGGAGCTGCCCTGGTTCCCCCCGAGGCCGAGGTGGGGGCTTCCACAGACCCCTTATGGCTCCCTCCACCCCCACCCCTGATGGACGAGCAGGACCTGTCCATGGCCGATTTCCCTCCCCCAGACGAGGCCTGCTTCCTGCTGCCTCCCCCACCCTTGCAGGCGGAGTCTGGGGAAGCCCCCACTTTGGAGGCGGAGGGTGCAGAGGCCCCTCGAGACCCCCAAACAGCTGCCTCCCCTGCAGGGCAGGAAGACGGAAAGGCTCCCTCTTTCCCCATCCAGCCCCTGCCGGTCCCAAGCACAGAACCTTCTCCACTTCCCCAAGCCCCCCCAAGCGGAGAGCTGTCCGGTCCACAGCTGGGCTCCAGGCATCCCAACACCTCCAGCCTGTCTCCCCAGATTAAGAAGCCACCCACCGGCTCCCATCCCGACCTCAAGAAGGAGCCTGCCACGCGCAGCAAGGCCGCCTCAGTGCCCAAGGAGGATGCCAGCCTGCCCATCGTCACGCCATCCCTGCTGCAGATGGTCCGCCTGCGCTCGGTCGACGTGGAGGCCCACGGCCCTGGGGTCAGTCCAGCCGGGGGGTCCACGGCCCCCACGGAGCCCAGCAGAGCAAACGTGGCTGCAGATGGGAAGACAGCCCCCTCGGCCCCCCAGAAGCCTCTCCGCAAGTCCCTCTCCTTGAGGGGGGGGCAGCCTGCTTCAAGAGAAGGGCTCAACCCCCTGCACGAGGCTGTGCGCCTCAAGGCCTCCACCTTCACCTCCAGGGAAGCCCTGAGTGTCGGAATGACCGAGAGGAAGACCAGGAGCCGGGCGGCGCTGCCAGGCACCCCGGCCAGCAACGGTCCAGTGTCCCCACTCCACAAGTCCCCCACCTCCACCGCCAGCTTCATCTTTGCCAAGAGCCCCAGGAAGCTGGTCATCGAGACGGCACCCTCGTCCGAGGCTCAGGCCAGCCTGCAGAAAAACCTGGTGGCCGAATTGATGACCGTCTCCAGCCAGCGATCCACAGCGGCCCCAGGGCTGCCTCTGCAGGGCTTGGCCAAGGCCCCCAAGGCCCAGAAGATCCCCCCTCCCATTGCCAAGAAGCCTTCTCTTGGGCCGGGGCGCAGGCCCTGCCCCCAGAGCCCAAAGCCCTGCGGAGCTGAGGAACCGGCAGTCGAGGAGCGGACTAAGAAGGTGGCCTCTGAAAGCTGGAGCCCTCCCGTGGAGTCTGGCGATGGGCGCCCCCCAGCCGGGCCTGAAGACCTGGTGCGGAGGAGCCCCAAAGCACAAGGTGAGCCCATGGGGTGCCTTCCTGTGGCAGGGGGGCTGTGGGTGGAGCAGGAAGTCCCAGGGGCCGGATGGAGGCCTTTTCCCGGGGTTTGCGGTATTGGGACTTCTGCCCTTAAGCTGCACTCAGGCTTTGTGTGGCAGTTCTCCTGCCAAGTTGGAGCCAGCTGCATGCCAGGGTTTAGGGGAGTGGCACTTCCTCCCTTTCTGTAGAACCGTCTTGGAGGTGGGCATCGCCTGCTCTGGCCCCCATCATGAGGCATTTTGGGCTGCCCATGGGCTGCCCAGAGGGGACAGGAGCCCCCTCACGCCCAGGAGGGTCTCCTCAAAGGTTTTCCTCCCGCTTGTCGAATCAGAGACTTTGCACCCCTTGAAACTCTCTGCCAGAGGCCTTGGGAAGCCTGGTGGAGCCTCCTTGCGGTTTGGGGGGGATACGAGACCACCAGGAGTTGCCAAGGGGGCAGGTCGGTTGGGAAAACCTCTCAGAGTCAGGCACTGGCCTCATTCTCCATCCCCATCGCTGGCAATCAAATGCATGGGAGTCACCCCCCCCCCTCCAACTTGGACCCCTGCACCGAGGATGCTTGCAGAGTCAGGTCGGGGGCTGGGTACAGGAAAGAGGTCCAGGAGGCCGCCTTCCTTGCACCCCTTTGCCTCTCAGTCAGGAAGCCAAGCGGACGGGCTGTGCATCCAGGCCAAGGACAACCCAAAGTGGCCCTCAAAAGAGGGTTCCGCAGCCATACAGTGTCCCTCCCCAGGACGTCCGAGTCCACCTGCCCTGCTACGCTGTGGCGTGGTCCAAGCAGACTAGCCAAACCCAAATCCTGCAGCCGGTCTTCATACATTTTACTCCCCAGGCCTCTAGTGCTCTTAGTTGCTCTTCTCTGCATTTTTTTCAAAGTCTCAACATCTTTTTTGTAATGTGGTGACCAAAACTGGATGCCGTATTCCAGGTGTGGCCTTGCTTAGGCTTTATACGTTAGTAATAATAGTTCATGATTTTGATTCTATGCCTCTGTTTATACAACCCAGTTTTGTGTTCACTTTTTGGGCTGCCGCCGCACACGGCTGGCTCCCGTTTAAGGGAACGTCCGCTAGGCCTCCAAGGTGCTTCTCGCAGTTAAATCATGAGTAGCAATTTGCAGCTCTTAGACTTTGTTTCAGCAGAGGTGGTTCAAACTTGGGATGGCGCTGAGCAAGTGGCCCTTATAACCAGCCCCTTAAGTTCTGACGGTTGCCGTGACGTGCAGCAAGGCAGTCGCTTTTTGCAACCTTCCCCAAGCAATGGGGGAGCAGACAGGAAGCCTCAAGTTGTGACAGTCATCGGGGGCTGCCTGAACTGCCGCCACTAGGCAGCCTGGTCACACACGGGGGCGCTTTATGACCAGCTGGCTTAGAGATGGAAATTTCAGTCTCCACTGCCATCATGAAGTAGGGACTCCCTGTAGCAGAGAAATCTTCCAGCTGATCAAATCCCTAGCAGTGGAACAGCTGCCTGTGCAGCCCTGGGTTTCCCACCTCAAGACAGCAACCTTTCCTGACTGGTTTGATGGACTTTCCTGCCCCCTGCAGAGGTTCCATAGGGGGCCCCTTCCTCATTCTCAGGTGACCCTGAAGCTCCTTGCAGGGGCCACCCAATTCGAGTCTGGGCCACCACGGCCCCTGCCCTGGTGCTGCCAGGCTTGGCCTTGTTTTACGTGAGATGAGCAGCTACGTCAGTAGCAGCAACCAAGATTGGGAGGTGGGGCAGGCTTGGTCCAAGGCTCTTGACCCCTGCTGCAAAATCTCATGCTATTCCCGGGGAATGAAAGTGACCCTGTAACTCTCTCTCTCTCTCTCTCTCTCTCTCTCTCTCTCTCTCGTTGCAGAGGCAAAAGAGGAGGAGGGGGTGTGAAGGAGGACCCTGCGAGGTACACGTGCCGGTCGGATACAGGGCTTAGACAAGAAAAATATTCTCAGGGACCTCTGAGGGCCAGAAGAGAAGCTTTCATGGTGGCACCGAAGAAAACCACCCTCCTGCGTCTCCTGTGGCCTTGATACTTATGCAACAGCGGGATTAGCTTGGGTGCCCTCAGCCATGCGGTTCTTTCAAACCCAGGGACAAAGGAGCACATCCCTTTCCACCCTCCCGTCTCTCCTGGGACTCGAACCTTCCGTTGGTCCTGCTTGGTTTGGTGGTGTTGAATTGCTCCCCCTCCTCCCCGGTTTGGCGTGAGAAAACAGCTTCCGGTAGCAGAAGAGAAGAACAACTCGGGTGTCTGCAGGGAGGATGGTCAAAACTGAGGCCGCTTGTGGCAGTTGTTCCCCTCTCTCCCCCCTGCCCCCCCCCCCCCGATGCCTTTGTAATGGGTTGCGTTGCCTGTGGCCGTTCGGGGTGCATTTGGGGAGTGAAGAGAAGGGGCTGGGCTTGCACACCCGCGTGGCACGAAAGCCCTTTCTCAGATCCCAGCGGGGGCTGAGAAGGGACGGCCATTACGGGAAATTCCTGCTCAGTCTTCCTGGGTGGTGCCGGGTCCCAGTTTTGCTCTGGACTCCTGTGGGCAGATTCTGGCTGTTGTAAACCGCTGATTCCGAGCAGGGGGTGCCTGTACAACCCCCCCCACCCCTTGCCCGCCCCGACTAAAGCACAAACGGCAGCCTAGAAGATGGTGCAGCCGCCAAAAGTCGTGGATTTTTGCCAGTCTCTCTTCATCTGTGCCATGAGTGCTGCCTGAGGGAAGCCCCCACCCCCACCCCAATGAGGGGTGGGAGAATCTCAGAGCTGCCTTGCAATGGACAGGAGAGGGTAGCAGACACCTGACCCAGCACTGTCAAGGTTTGGCAAGCACTGGCAACTGTCCGGAATATACTGTAGCTCTCCACTGCCAAAAGAGCAAAAAAAAAAAAAAAAAACCCACTGAATTTCGCACCCAAACATTCCCGTCTCGGGTCACGAGGACAGAGGATCCATTGGAAAGCCGGGTGGGGGTGGGGAAACGGCTTCAGGCCATCCTTCCCTTCTCCCCCCCCCCACCAAGAAATCCAAGTGATAAGGCCACGGGGTGCCCCCACTTGTGTTTCATTGGTGGTGACTTTGCCCCGTAGTTGCTAATGGGCGCAGAGATGCAGAGCAATTGGATCCGATCTACCCTCCCTTCTGTGGGGGGCTGGGGCTGGACCTGCAGAGGTGCAGCGGCTCTTGCTAGAAGCTGGGGTGGGGTGGGCAAATTCCACCCAGACTGGAGGCAGAAACCCTTGGTGGTGTGACTTGGGGTGTCCTGATCCGGGCAGGAGCGTCTCGGGGGTCTTCTCTCCCCCACCAGGCAGGGCCAGCAGGGGCTCATCAGAGGTCTGCGACCCCCAGAATGCAGGGAGGGCAGCCGGCAGCATCCCAGGGGCCCCCACAGGGCCCAGGTTGCTTGCAGGGCCCCTGGTCTGGCCATCCTGGCCGGGGAGGAGGAGAGTTAGGGGGAGCTTGGGCAGAGGCAGCTGCTGATCGGGGGCGTTTTGTGGCCTCCTGCCAGACGTGCAAGAAAAGGGCTGGGCACAGTTAACTGTTCTAAGTCACTATTACCTGCATCCATGGCCGACCTGGTCGGCTGAGATGTCAGCAAATGGTGCTGACTCAGAGGGCACCCTCTGCAGAAGGGCGAAGGGGGCACCGAGACCCACGCCCCCTTTCCTTCCCAAACCACCACACGTGCCTGCAGTGGCAAATGCCCTCCCCCCCCCCCCGGCCCTCAGCCCCGGGGCGCACTGTGGGAGGCTTGCCACCGTCCTCGAGGAAGTCAGGGTTTTAAGTTTGCACATGGTGCTGGTGCAAATCGGTGGCTCTTTCTTCAGCCAAGAGCAGCGGGGAGAAAGTGGTCACAGCACCATCTCGCCTTTGGCTGCAAAGGAGACGGAAAGAGCTCTGCCTGGTTTTGTCTCCCCCCCCTTTCAACCCCCCCCTTTTGTTTTTCTGTTTTTGAAGAGCCGGCAGCTGCTCTCTACACCTTGGAAAACCTTGGGAGTCTGTTGATTTGATTCCCACTCTGGTGGTGAAAGGGAAGGGTTGCTTTTAAAAAAGAAAAAGGTCAATTCTGTTTTAAAAAAGATTAATGTGCATTTGTAAAATGACTGATTAAAAGCTTGCTTGCTGACTCTTCTTTCCTGTGATATGAGGAGGGTGAGAGGAAGGGCACATTGGGTGCCCCGAACGGGGAGGAAGGAAGAGCGGGTGTCAAGAGGCAGGGGAGGTCAAAAAAGTCAAGATGGGGAGCACTGCAGTACAGATGCTGCTCTTATAAAACACCCAGTCTGTGCAAGACCAGCAGAAGGGCAGGACCTCAGTTGTGCAGTTGGGGCTTTTTAGACGCTTCCCCTCCCAGCTGGAGAAATGGGCTCCAGCGACCTGGAAAGTTTCCTTCCGGCCCCTTTGAAGGACAGGGTGGGGTGGGGGGCCAAATGGGACCCCCAGAGCCCACAGAATCTGGTCATAGCCATTTTGGAAGGACGGTTATTTTCAATAGGGAGCCAGAAGAGCCGTCTTACTTTCACAGAGGCTTAAGGCAGCCGTCTTACTGAGACAATTGCCAAGTTTTGGAGGACGGGATTATGTTAACGGAGGTCTGCAAGGGGCTTTTCTGCCCCGAACCCCAGCCTGATCTGGGGGCTCCAAGCAAGCCCCAACTGATGGGGGTGTTTTTTGAGAAGGGCAACAAAGCAAGAGCGGGGGATAATCAGGCGGTTTCCACAGATTGGCTGCAAAACCTCTAATGGTCCATTAGGTCAACTTTGGGGTAGATAGAAACGTGGCTCAAAATGCCCGATCTGTGCCAAGCGCGGGTGAGAGACTAACGCATTTCCAGCTCTGAATAAACACCCCCAGGGTGGGCTTGCTTAATTTAATGGTTGCCATCAGCAGAGTTTAGGCCCTGAAAACCCAAGAGGGCTGGAGTTCCAGCCCTGCCTGGGTGACCTTCAGCCGGTCCTTCCCTTCCCTCCGGGCCCTGCAGATAAGGCAGCTGCTAGGAGCTGCTGCTCGCTTGGAAGGAAAGGGAAACAGCCCCAGGGCAGCTAGGCCTCAACTTACAAAGAGTTCATTTAGTGACTGTTCAAAGCTACAATGGCATTGAAAAAAAAGGATGGTTTTTTTCACACAGCTTGCAGCATGTCATCGAAGTTCAGGTGCTTGGCAACTGACTTGTATTGATGATGGTTGTCCTGGGAGTCGTGGGATCTCTGCAAGGTCAGCGGGGAAGCCAGATCCACTAACTTAACTGCAGTGATCAACTTAACAGCTGTGGCGAGAAAGGTCATAAAAGGAGGCAAAAGTCTCTTGCTTAGCAACAGAAATTTTGAGCTCAGCTGTGATCATATGTTGAGAACTACCAGTACAAAGAGAGCCATGTGTCCTTAGGGAGCACGGCCACTCTGGAGTTACTCACAGCACAAATACAATCCACCCTAAAATACTAAACACTCAAAAGATTTATGCCTGTTTGAGATGAACAAGCAAGCTCTGCGTTTCCTCCAAACTGGAAAGGATTATTTATGTGCCACTGGCTCAAGTCTCAGCTCCTGGCGTCTCTTTGGGTAAATGCCCAGCCGAGGAAGAGTCCGACGGGAGCGCTCCGGATTTCCCGATATCCTCCTCCCCGTCCAGCCACAGTCTTTTCCTTCGACAGAGCACCCCACCCCACCGAAGACACCTCCAGCTTCAACTTGCCTAGCTTCCCCTCATAGGACCCGGCAGCCTAAGTTACTCTAGGATGCGCCGGTTGGGGGATGCTGGGGGTTGAAGCCCACCCAGATTGAAGCGGAGAAATGCGGCTCTTCAGAGTAGCCGCAGCAGAGCAGTCCAGTCCTAACGATGATTTTCAAATCACGGTTCAAAAGCTTTGAGCATTTCTTTTAATAAGCAGCTTCCACACCTCTATCCCACTAGACCAGAGGTCCCCAAACTCGGCCACTTTAAGACTTGAGGACTTCAACTCCCAGTTTGCTGGCTGGAGAATTCTGGGACTTGGAAGTCCACAAGTCCTAAAGTGGCCAAGGTTGGAGACCTCTGTTCTAGAAGCAACAAGATCGTGTCTTTTGCCCAGAAACTGGATCGAGTTTTTATAGCTGGACCACCACTCATCGTTTACAGCTGGGGGTGCCCAGGTCTGGCAACCTGGTTTACAGAAGAAGCCAAGGCACGACCAGTTCACCTGGAAAGGGAGCGCTGTATTTCGAGACACACAGGACAACGATGCACGACAGGCCCAACTGCTCTGCTCCTCTGGGCAAGCCCTTCTTCCCCAGCCCGGAAGCAGCAGCAGCAGCAGCAGCAGGGGAGCAACAGCAAGGCCTCCCCCACCAGCCGAACGGGATGGAAGGCTGCGCCGGCCGTTTGGGGGAGGCAGATCAGTTGGGGGGGGGGAAGGGGGGGGATCTCGTTCTGCTGGATTGGACCAGCAGCAGCTTTCCGTCACCGTCACCAGTCAACGCAAGGAAGCGACTGCAGCACAGACAGGCCTTGGCCGGGCTGGGAGAGAAGGAATCCCAGGGCCCGTCACTGCTGGGAGCGGGAGCCCTTCCCCACCAGGCAGAAGTCCAGAGTCCCAGCCGGTTCGTGATTCCTCGGGTCAAGGGCGGCTGCCTGAAGAAGATCACTGATGGGAGCAGAGGCGGGCAGGAGGCGGGCAGTGGGCGGGGGGGGCGGCTCTAGCGGATGCTGCCCCCTTTCAGGGATTTGCACGTCAGGTTCCCCAGGGCAGTCATGAGGTTCTTCCCCTTCCACTGGGCCACCAAGTCCTCAGAAATCTGGAGGTCAGCCTGGGGGGGGGGGAAAAGAGAAGACTTGCTCAAGAGCTCCCACGCTGCCGGGGTTCTTCTCCCCGCGTCTTTCACCAAGTCCGTGGTCTCCGGAATAAACAAAGCCAACCCAACATCAAAGGTCCCCAGGCAACGCACACACACATAATCACCCACAGGCTACTCCTCCTCTACTCCACTCTTTCCCATTGCTACTACACCTCCTGTTGCTGGGTCTTTCTGCCTTCTATCTTCTCTGGGCTGCTTATTTTCAGAGGACCCCCCCCCACACACACACCTGGCTGCCTCTGCTCAGTTCTGGTAGCCACCGGCTGCTGTGCTGGGGAGGCCGAGGCCTGAAGAGGGCTGGGCAACTGCAGCACAGGGGCCGGACATTGTGTAGGCAGCCTGTCCTTGCCAAAGCACCGGGTTGCAACATGTGCAACTTGGTTGGGATGGGAGGATTAAGCTCTCGGTGCCCCTCGGCCCTTGGAAACCTACTGAGTGATGGGGTGAGTCAGCCTGTTTTAGCCCAACTTTGGGGAAAAATCAATTGCAGGAATGTGCTGAAGAATCCTGGGCGATCTTGGGGGAGGCAAGAAATGGCCACTTAAAAGAGGGGCCTGGAGAAGCGACTGCAGTCCAGAGGTTTAAGCAACTGTGAGAAAGAAACTCCAAATAACCCTGTTTAGTGTCTGTCTGACCTTCTTCCAAACATTCATCTGCTGCGGACTGAGACTGTTTCGCCCTTGTTGCCTTGGACGTGGAGGTGGCCTAACTCCCTCACGATCGTCTTCCTTCTCTTATACAGTTACATTAAAGCTGCACATTGATGGCAGCTGCTGGAAGGACACCAGAGGCCACAGTAAGTCAGAGAGGCCTCCTACGTTGCTGGGATAATATGCAGCTATTCTGACTCGCCACGAATAGATTCCCTTTTATAAATTTCCCTAAGTATAGAATCAGCAAAGCACATTAGGACTAGCAGAGTATGAATATATATATATATAGAGAGAGAACCACAGAATCCTGGGACCTTGGAGGTCTTCTAGTCGAAACCCCTGCCCAAGGCAGGACACCTTATTCTATCCCAGGCAAACAAGAGTCCAGTCTTTTCTTGAAGACCTCCAGCGATGCAGCACCCACGACCGCAGGAGGCCAGCTGTTCCACTGATTAATGGTTCTCAGGTCAGGGACTTTCTCCCGAGTTCCAGGTTGGATTTCCCTCTGACCGGCTTCTGCCCATTGCCTTCAGACGCCTTAGAGAACAAGTTGACACCCCCCACCCTTCTCTGTGACTGTCCTCAAGGACCGGAAGACAGTTGTCGCGTCACCCTTAGTCCTTCTCTTTGTTGGGCTAGACATACCCAGTTCCCTTAACTGTTTATTGTACAGTTTAGCCCCCAGCCACTAATCCTTCTTCTTCGCACTCTTTTTTCCAGGGTCTCAACATCTTTTTTTACATTGTGACGACCAAAACTGGATGCAATATTCCAACAGTGGTCTTACAAGTGCAGTATAAAGCGGCACTAACACTTCGCCCGATCTTGATCCTATCCCTCTATTGATGCCTCCTACAAGTGTGTTGGCTTTTTTGGCAGCTGCAGCACTGCTAGCTTATTATACATAAGGGATTGTCCACTCTCAGTTACTATTGTTATCTCCAACATTTAACCTAATTATTTGTTCCATCTGCTATTGAGCATCCATCAAGAATGGATCAAGGATCCAACCTTACTGTCCTTTCTCCAGTACTAGAAATGATGTCATTAATGATGCCAGCGTGTCCCATCTCTTACGCTTCCCCTTTTCCTCTGAAGAGAGCAAAGAATGAACGGGCCACATAAAATGCTGAGATTCTTCAAAGGTGGGGCTTGACATCACTTGAAAGGAGGCACCTGCAGGCTGCTCTTCCAATAGGCAGCCTCCTACAGAAGCCTGAGCTCTTCCGGCTGCTCTCCAGCCCTTCTGCAAAAGGTGCGCAGCACACCTGGGCAAGGGGGATTGTTCGGCTTGCTAATCCTCAAGCTGGATGCTGCTTAGGACTCTGTGCAAACCTGCACCAAAGCTGCTTCTCCACTTACCTGCAACTTCTCAAATACTTTCTTCTTGGGCTTCAGCTCATCATCCGGCTGACCATTCTCAAAGCCCTCCACAAACACTCGTTCTCCAGGACAGGAGCCTGCTGGGGGGTCCAGGGGTTCTACTTGGCAGGGATCTCCAGAACTGAGGCAACAGAGAAAGAAGGCACCCACGGGAGAACATGAGCGCCACCCGCAAGGGGCTTCTGGGAAGAGGTGCCGCCTAAGCCCCGGCCCTTCCACCCTGCCCCACTTCCTTTGCCAACCTGAAAGCACAGAGCAGCATTGCCTGGGACTCCACTCCCCGCATCTTCTGGGGCTTCATATTGCACACCAGCACCACCAGCCTGTCCTGCAGCTCTTCCTTAGGCACGAACGCCACCAGGCCACTGACCACCGTACGAGGTTCAGCCTCCCCCAGGTCAATCTTCTCCACGTACAGAGCATCAGCATCGGGATGCTGCAGGCATCAAATGGGGACATCAGGGGGCTAGCCGAGAGGCTTTAAGGAAGGGCCTCCGGTGGGACAGACGTAACTGTAGCAGTGCCCCCAAAAGGGAGGGCGCCCAAAGCACCTCACCTTTTCCACACTGAGCACTTTGCCAACCCGGAGATCCACTCGAGACGGGACCACTTCCTCGGCGTCGGAGTTCTTTGTGGAGCCTTTCACGGCAGATTCTGCAAGTAGATAGCAGAGAAAAGAAAGGTTTCCATCAGAGAGCTGGATGCAGGTGTGGCCTTACCGAAGTTTTATACAGCGCTACTAATACTTCATGTGATTTTGATTCTATGCCTCTTCTTTATACAGCCAAGGATTGTTATTAGTTTTGGTTGCTGCCGCACATATATTCTGCTCATATTCAAGTGATCATCCACTAGAACTCCAAGGTCTCTGTTCGGTATTACTGTTTTTGAGCCAGGTTTCACCTAATCTACACTTGTACCTTTGGTTTTTCCTATCCAGGTGTAAAACCTTGCTTTTCTCCACATTAAATTAGATTTTGTTGTTCAAGTCTGTCAAGATCTTTTTGGATCCTGAGCTGGTCTTCTGGGTGTTGGCTATTCATCTGCAAATTTGATGAGTTCCCCTTCTATTCCCTCATCTAAGTCATTTATGAAGCTACTGAGGAGTCCTGGGTCTGAGATGGAACCTTGTGGTTCCCTACTGCTGACTTCTCTCCATGTAGATCCCAAAGGTATTTTTTCCACAGGCAACTGGACCTTGTTTTTCTTTTAAGATGATTCGCTTCTCATCTAAGAAGTTTCTTTAACTCTGACTAGATGGTGGGAAAGGAAGGATCTATACTCCTTACAGTTGCTCATTTGCATTCTTTTAGTAAGTTGTTTTTAAAATATATTTTTATTATATACATATAGCTATATCGAACACAGTGTGGCTATCCTGGCATTTCCTCCGCCATGCACACCGAAGTGAAAGACAAATAACATATATACTACTTATACATTGCTAGTCTTGTACAATTATTTTTGACCAACATAGTCATTCTAATACATATATAATCTCTCATTCTGGGTCTACTTAGCCTAGTTATTTTGTGTTCCGACTACCTTAGAAAGTTGTTGAGGCCTCTTGGAGGTCTATCTGTGTCTTCAGGGTAACCTGCGTAGCACAAATGGGTGTGGGGCTTTCTTGGAACTGCTGAAAGGACTCTGTTGTAGCCTGGAGATAGAGGCTGTTGTATCCCTCCCCCACTGTTGAGGTACAATTTTTACACAGATGGCCTCTTTGATCCCCCTCTTTCAAACCAGTGGTCCTCTCTGTGTCCAAAATGTGGACAACCATGACCTGGGTGACTGAGAATTTCCATAGACACTCCATGTAGATGTGGTACCATGAAGGATGACTTGAGTACGGTTTGTCAGCCAGTTACAAATCTACCTGGTGGTGATGCTGTCTATCCCACATGGTTCTAGTTTACCAAACAGTAGGTTGTCTAATTCTAGCTGATTCAAGAATTTAAAGATTTGGTGCAAAGTAACGATTGAAATGAATCAGCTTCTTTAAAAAATTTTTTTTTTATTGATTTTACAATTAAAACAAACCAACAACACATATATAAATGAAAGAGAGAAAAAGAAGGGAGAAGAAAATAGAAAGAAAAAAATAGAAAACAATTAAAAACATTCTCATCTTCAACAGTTTGTAAAGCCTCTTTTTATCCTTATTTTATGCCATATACACACACACCTAATCCTTACATATATCTGTCTATCACTACTATGGATTTATCCTATCCTCTTTTGCCTTTTAGTGTAAAGTCTATCTTTGGTCTATCCATTTGTACCAGCAGTTCCAGCTGTTGTAGTATATTGAAGTGTCTTTATTTTTTAATGCCAAAGTTAATTTGTCCATTTCTACACAACTTGAAATTTTTTGAATGATCATCTCCCCTGATGGAACATGAGGTTGCTTCCAACATTGTGCAAAAGCCAATCTGGTCGCTGTCAAAATGTGTATTATTATATATTTCACTTTTTTTCATATTTGTTTATCAAAGATCCCTAACAGAAAGGACTCTGGCTTGAATTCGATCTGTTCTCTTGTCATTTCTTCCAGCCAATTTCTAATTTTCTGCCAATATTTTTGAGCTACTGTACAGGACCACCACATATGGAAAAAAGTTCCCTCTGTTTTTTTGCATTTCCAGCAATTCGGACGCATATTGGGGTGCGTCTTCTCTAATCTCGAAGGAGGAAGGTGCCATCTATAAAACATTTTATAGGCGTTTTCTTTGTATGCTACCGGTTTTGTAATTTTATTATTTCTACCCCAGACCTTTTCCCATTCTGTTATGGTGATGCTATGTCCTATATTCCTACTCCTGGCTATTATGTTCCCTTTTACAATTTCTTCATCTAATTCTACTTCTAATAAGTAATTATAAATTTTTGTTATTTATTTTTTGCCTGATCCTAATAAAATTTTATCTAGTTGCTGGAATTTATTGTTAATTCTAAATTCTTTCTTGTCCTGTTTATATCTACTTTGAATTTGAAGATATGCCCACTGATCAATTTTTAGTCCTCACTCTTGAAGTTCTTGCCGCGATTTCAAATTTCCTTGTGTATCCAATAGGTCCTTATACTTAATCATTTTAGTGATATCCAGATTATTTGGGTGAATCATCGCCTCCATTGTTGAAATCCAAACTGGTATTTTAAAATAGTGTTTTTTCCGTATTTTCTTCCAATTAGTCAATGAGTCTCTGATTAGGTGTCTGTGAAAATATTTCTGGCTAGTTTTCCCTACATCCCATAAAAAAGCATGCCACCCCCTCTGCAAGTCATGGCCTTCTAAGAATAATATTCTCTTATTGGTTAAATTCACCCATTCCTTCAACCATACTAAAGAGGCTGCACTATAATACAACTCCCAATTTGGAAGCGCCAGCCCTCCCCTGCTCTTCATATCCTGCATTGCCTTTACATTTATTCTAGGTTTTTTCCCTTGCCAGATAAATTTTACAGTTATTTTATTAAGTTCTTCAAAAAAAAATTTTATGTACTTTGATTGGGATCGTCTGAAATATATATAGGAATTTTGGAAGAATATTCATTTTAATAGCAGCAATCCTGCCTAATAATGAAAGTTGCAGCTTTCCCCATGTTTCTAAATCCTTCTTTACCTGTTGCATCAATTTATCATAATTATTTTCCTTAAGTGTCTTACAATGTGCTGTCAACCATATTCCTAAGTATTTAACTTTCTTTATCACTTGTATTCCCATTACTTCTTCTAGTTCTATTTTCTGTTTTTCTGCTAAATTTTTAGTCATTAATTTTGTTTTCTTCCTATTAATTTTAAGTCCTGCTACTGCTCCAAATTGTTCTAATTCATTCATCAGTTTTTGTCCTCTTTCTATTGGTTCCTCAATGAAAAAAATCATATCATCCGCAAACGCTTGCAACTTATATTCTTCTTTCTTAACCTTTAATCCTTTTATGTCTGGGTTCTGTCCAATTCGCATTAGTAATGTTTCTAATGATAATATGAAGAGCAGGAGTGAGAGTGGGCAGCCCTGTCTGACTCCTTTTTCTATTTTTATTGGGCGGGTATATTCCCCGTTTATTATAATATTAGCCTGTTGGGTATCATAAATGGTTGTTGTTATATTTTCAAATTTGGTGCCTAAATTCATATTATATTTTGTATTAAAAATTGCCAATTTAAATTATCGAAGGCCTTCTCTGCATCTAAAAACATAAGTGCAATTTGTTTTTCAGGGTGGGCTTCGTAAAATTCTGAGACATCTAGTACTGTTCTTAAGTTGTTCCTGATTTGTCTGGTCGGGAGAAATCCATTTTGATCTTCATATATATGCTCATTTAACATTCTTTTTAGTCTACCTGCTATAATAGAAATGAATATTTTGTAATCAGTATTTAACAGTGAAATCAGCTTATAATTTTGTATATATCGGGGATCCGAATCCTCCTTCGGGATCAGCGAAATCAATGCCCCCCTCCATGAGTCCGGCATCCTGGCTGCCAATAAGACATCATTAAAAACTTCCACCATAAGAGGTCCAATTTGTTCTGCAATTGCCTTGTACAGCTCCCCTGGAATCCCATCTGGTCCCGGGGATTTATTGTTTTTCTGGTTCTCTATTGCTCATTTCAATTCAAACCAAGTAATGTCTTTGTTTAATAATTCTTCCATTTCTTCCCCAATTGCTTTATCCTTCACTTCATCTAAATAGTTTCTTATTCTATCTTCGTTAACTTTTTCCTTTTTATATAACTCTTCAAAATACTTATGGGCAATTTCTTTTTTCTGTTCTATCTCTTGTTGTATATCTCCCTTTCCATCTATTAGCTGGTAAATCAATCTTTTTTCTTTCTTTTTTTTAAGTCTGTATGATAGCCATCTCCCTGGCTTATTAGCATGCTCAAAATAAGTTTGTCTAGTTGTATTCAAATTTATAATCATTCTCTCCTGTTCAATTAAATTCAATTTATGTTTAGTTATTATCTGATTTTGCAATTTTGAATCCTTTGGGGTACTCTGTAATTGAGTTTCTAATTCCTTAATTTTTTGTTGTAATTTGTTTTGCTGGGCGTATTTTTCCTTATTCCTCCTGGCGTTATAAGAGATTGTTATATCTCTTATTACTGCCTTCATTGTATCCCAAATGTTTTGTTTTATAGTTGCTCCATTATCATTTTCCTTTAAGAAATAATTTAATTCCTCCTTGAGTTTGTTGGTATATTCTTTTTCTCTTATTAACTGAGTATTTAACATCCATCTTTTCTTGGGTTTTTCGCTACACTTCCATATTATCTGAATTGGATTGTAATCTGCCCATTCATTAGGTAAAATTTCAATCCCTTTTATCTCATTTGCTATTTCTCCATTCATCCATGCCATATCAATTCGTGTCCATATTTGATGAGGATTTGAATAGAATGTAAATTGTTTTTTCTTGGGATGTAATCTTCTCCATATATCAATCAAATTTAACTCCTTCATCATTTCCATACATATCTTGGGAAGCTCTCTTTTCCCCCCTTTGTTCTTCCCCCTGTTACTGTGGTCTTTTTGATAATCAGCAATAGAATTAAAGTCTCCTATGATACAAATATTTCTTTTTTCCAATCCTACTATTTTTCCATAAAGATGCTTAAAAAACTCTTTTTGATCTCCGTTCGGGGCATAGATTACCACTAAGAGAATTGGGATGGCATTAATCCAGATCTGCAAAACCAGAGTTCTTCCCTCAGAATCCGACCATATTAAATCTGCTTTCAAATCCTCTTTAACATATACTGCAATCCCTTTCTTTTTCCCATTTCTGCTGGTGCGGTAAATAGCTTCCCTAATTTCGGACATTCTATGTATTTTTCATCTGTTTTCTTTATATGAGTTTCTTGTAGGCATATTATATCAGCATTTTGTTTGATTAGTTTATCCTTTTCCTTTTTATAGTCGAGTTTAAACCATTTATATTAATTGATAGTAGTTTCTTTTCTTCTTCCATTTAATTAATTCTGTTTCGCGCTTTGTCTTGTAATGGCTCCGGTCTCTCCTTGTGCCTGAAGATGTGTCCTACTTTCTTCTCTCTCCTGATGTAGATGAGTATTTCCTTGATTTCCTAAAGTTCCATCTCTGTTCTTATGATAGGCTTGATCTTCCTGGGAGTTTGTTTCCAGTTCCTCCTTACTGCTCTGGTCTTCCAGACCTTCCAATCTCTCATAAAATTCCTGGGCCTTTTCCATGGAGTCTATTTTAATTTTCCTTTCGTTCCAAAAAACTAACATCCCCTCTGGGATTAGCCATTTAAATACGATTCTTTTCTGATTTAGGTAAGCTGCTAAGAACTCGTAGTCTCGTCTTTGTTCTCTTACTCTTCTTGGTATTTGTTTGAGAATCAAGACTTCTGTATCTTTATACGTGATTGTTTCATCTCTTGACATCCTATATATGATATCCCAGACAGTCCTTCTCGCAAATCGTATATGGACTTCTCTTGGGCATTTGTGGCGTCTCGCATAATTAGTGCTAATCCTGTAAACTTCATCAAACTCGCTTAAGATGTCATCTTTATCCTTTTCCAATAGTCCAGCCAGTATTCCCACCATTAGTTGTTCCAGGTCTTCTTCTTTGGATTCCACTACATTTTGGAATCTCAAGTATGTAGCAGCCTTGTCCATCTCTAGGTAGACCAGTGAGTCCTTCATTTCTTTACTCGCCTTCTTTTAATTCTTCATCTACCCTTTCTAATTTCCTTTCGGTTCGTTCAGTCCTTTTCTCTACCTCTTTTATTGTTGCTTCATTTTCTCCAAGGCCTGCTGTAATAATCCAACTTTGTCCTCTACTTTGGAGATGTCCGCTTTCATTTCTGCTTTTAATTTCCCCATCTCCTCTTTTAGTTCATTGATATCTGCTCTCGTCTCGTTATGGTTTTTCATCGTTTCTTGCAGCTTCGTCATCGATTCCTGTAAAGTCAGCAAAATTGATTGGATGTTGGCATTCGAGATGTTAGCTTGTTTCTCCACTGGTAATGTTTCTTCTATGGTTTTTTGTGCCATGGGCGAAGCTGTTGACAACGTAGTTGTTAACGTCAGGGTGACCTTTCTTCCAGTTTTCAGAGCTGTAGTAGTTGTGGAAATCATTTCTTTTAAGATTTGTTTCTGTTGTTGTACTATATTATTTATATAATCCCAAATTAACATTCAGTGCTAGAATCTCTGTATTAGGATTGACCGGTATCTAATTACTTAATCTATCTATCTGCTGGATAGCTGTGCTCTTAACTGGTTACTGGAGTATAACTACTTATATAAAAACATTATCACTGTACACTATTTCAACCATTAATACTCTTCCCTCTTCATCAGTATGAATCAGTTTTGCTAGAATAGAGAGATAATTCATCATAGCGCCAGATGGTGAGGGAAAAAGAAGAAAAAAAAATTGAGCAAATGTATACAGAAAAAAGAGAGTAAAAAAAGGGGGGAAAGGAATTTTGAAGTAAGTTTTTAGCTTTCCGTCTCTAAGTTTGAGAGCTTTTACTCCAAACGCACCGGAAGTGGGGAGGTAAAAAATGCTGAGTAGTAACTGCAATTACACAGTATCTCCACACATTCGGAAGCTTTCACTTTTACTTTTTGTCTTAGCGTTCCTAAGTTCAATTTTCCTGATTTTCTTCAGATGGAACCACCTCCTCAATTAGATCAGTATGCTCCCTAAAGGGCTGTTAAGTGGTTTATATCAGTTATATTGTTACGATAGCTTCAGGGTTTCTAAGTATCACCTGTGGCGCCACACTGTCTCTGTTCCGTCAGCTCCGATCTTCTTCCCGTCTCTGCTTTAATAAAGTCTTTCAGAATAAAAATCAAATGAGATAATCCAAATCCTCCACAACTTCCAGGCACCTTCCAGCCGCTAGTCTCCCAACCTCGTAAACTTCCCTTTTTACTCGTTATTGTCCTCTCTCTCTTCTGTGTGCCAAGCCCTTTCACTTTCACTTGCCTCGCATCCGCTTTTTGGCCGCTTTCTTTTAGGGCTCCGGACAGACACTTGTAACAGCCTTATAAAAGTCTATGGCATTCCAATCCTTCTCTCCGCCGCTAATTTTCTCTGCCACACTCTTCACCAATGATCCCACAAACTGTCACTCACTCGCTTCTTTACATCGGTGGCAGTCCGGACTTCGGAGCCGCCATTAATAGACGGCTGTTTCTTGCTTGCTGGGCTCTGGAGGGCTCCTCTTTGCTGCAGTGGGGTTGCCTTCCCCATACTGCTACCCAAGTCTCCCCCACACCGGCACGAATGTCTCCGGGACTCGTGCACCCTCAAAGGATGGCGCCAACCGCAAAAAGAGATTAACTGAAACCACAGACGTGCTTCTGCACCTCTGCTCGTCCTCGCCTTGCCACCCGAAATGAATCAGCTTCTAAATGACGACTTTTCACAGTCCTAGCAAACTTCTTAATCTCTCCTACAAAGCTTGGGTTAATAGAATGCCTAAAGATTAAAGCCAGGTTTAAAAAAACAATTTCTTTTGTCTTTCTTACAGCATGCTACTTTAATCTGTAACCCTGCTGGCTTGAGCTGGAAGGCTTACAAGAAAATTGACACATCTTACAATCTTTGGTAGAAACATTCTTTTGACCAAAAGCTTTGGGGAAAAGGGGGAAACCCACTGAATAATATTCTACAACGAATCCTGCTGTTGGTACATTGTACAATATTCCCAACACCTGTACCTATACACTAATACAATATATAAATGGATTCAATTCCTGTTGCCACTAGATTATTACAAAACCGTAAGCATCTCTTTCTTTCGATCAGCGGAAGATACCTTTGCCTGATATATGAACACAATGAAGAACTTCAAAAGATTAAGGATAAATGCAAGTAATTTTTATTCTCAGTTGCTCTTCCTTGGTGTGGTTGGCATGCTTTCTTGCTTGCTTTTGATTTTCTGACTTCAAATGAATAAAGCTATGGAATACATCTTATTATCGCTCACAGGCCAATTCCTGAGTGCTGTGCCCAACGAGCCTCATCCCATATGTTGTACACAATCCCAGCCAGGAAAGGCCAGAGATGCAAGGAATTTAGCTTGGGGTGAAAGCCTCAATACAGCCAGCCAGGCCCTTCTCCTCCCCAGTGCCACTGGCCTGGTTGTCCAGTCCATCCACAATAAATGGCTCATTTAAAAAACTGCTCAGGGGGCTGCTGGGAGCTTGCCAGAGAAGCCCTTGTATGGCTCCAACCAGCCACCTGTTCTCACGGAGGGCTCTGCACTGCAGATGAGCTGTTCTGTGCAGGCCGTGGGGGGAATGGGGCAAAGCAGAAATGGAGAATGCGAAGAAAAACAGAGAAAATGTGGGAGATCTGGGAGGTGGTTCTAAGCCCCAATCTCAGCTTGCATCTCACCCACTGGGCACGTGGCAGGCCAGTCCAGATGGAGCGCCCCCCAGCCCCCGCATTCCCGTGGCCCTTACTTGTTTTGGAGGGATCAGGATATGCACAGCTGGCAAGTTTCTTCATTTGTGAGCTGTTGAACTTTTCTCTGATAGGATCCAGGAGCTTATTCAAGGCCACCTCTATGGAATTCTTCAAGTCTCCCGGATGGACAACCTAATCACAAGATCAAAGCAGCAGAACACACTAGGCATGTAGACAGAACCACAGTAAAACAGCATTATAAAATAAACAATGACAAAGGAACACAATGAGGATGCACCAACCCAAAAGATGGATGGGTGGAGAGCAGAGAGCAAGGGCGGGGGGTGGAAAGGCGGACACTGCCACCCACCTAGAAGCCTCCTCCAGCGTGGGACTCCCCCGTTGGGTGCCCAGACCAATCGGCTCCTCTGGAAGGTCTTGCCTCAGAGGGCAGGGTGGTCCACAGAGAGGCGCTGCGGCCGAGAAGGCTCTGCTTCTGGATCCCGCTAGTCAGACTTCTTTGACTGACGGGATCCAGAGTAGGCACTCTCTGCCAGCACAAGTAGGGAGGGCTTGTCCTAGGGGGCCGAGGCAGCTCCTCAGCATGCCTGAGTCCATCATGCCTTTAGGGGCTCTAAAGTAAAGCACCACACAGTTTCTGCCTGGGTGCAGGGGAGGAGACCCCTCTGGCCCGGGAGCCTCTCCACTAATTACCTGCTCAGCAAAGTCCTTCTCGAGATCCCCATAGCTTGTGTAGGTTTTATTTCCTCCCCACTTCTCATCTCTAAGGATCACAAACTCTACAAAAAAGAGAAGGTGTCCGTTAAACAAGAGCTCAGCCGCACCCGTAAGCCCACATTTAGTACTCACAATCCTCCAATATTCTTTTGGGTAAGATGATGCTGGGCATCACAATGACCTACAAAGACCCCACTTGATGCCCACTTGACTCTGTACTTCACCGGACTCCAGGCCAAGCAGGTCCTTCACCCACCAGGCCCAAAGGATGCAAACTTCCTTTCAGAGCCCTGGGGAGCTAGGCCAAACCTCACAGGCTGCTCACTTGATGAAGATGGTAGATAAATCAGAAAAGAAACCAAGACAGGCAGCGGAATGGAAAATAATTTCAGTGAGGGAGGAGGGAAGCACCTGTGCGGCCTGGACAGAGGAGCTACAATGAGCAGGTAACAGCACTTCCTGAAGACCAAGAAGACTCACCTTTCCATGGGGTCCTTGGTGCTCTCCGAGTTCGTTTTCTTGCAGACCTTTCATTACCCAAACTAGGTAACGTCATCAGCACCATCTGTTACCTAGTTTGGTCATGAATTCTGCAAGGAAACAACCAGGTTCGGGGAGCGCCAAGGACCCCACAGGTCAGCCCTGAGCAACAAACATTCTCTCCTATTGGCACTTCACTGCTGTCAGTCTCACAACAAGAACCATACTAAAAGCCAAAATTACAAGGAGGTAGATTTTGACTGAATGAGCAACCTGGCAGAGGGACTCTCCCAGAGACCCTTTGCTTGGCCACCACTCACTTCTTTTGCCACTGTAAAGAAACTCTCCCCCCTCGCCCCTCCCCCACCCGCTTCAGGATCCCGGAATACATCCTTCCGTTTTGCCGCTGCTTAGGATGCCTATTTCAGCTGGTAAGAAGGCATGAACTGGATAGGAGGAAAAGAGCCTCTGGGCTCCCTGCTTCTCTTGCCTGCCAAGGCCGGTGCTGCTGCCCTCTGGCCTCTGGCCACTTGGGACCCTCACCTGATCTGAGGGGGAAGAGCACATGCTTGATGAAGGACAAGACCCCGTTGTTCTCCACGTTCCCCGGCTCGCAAAAAGCCTTCTTGAGCTTCTTTTTTACATCCTCTTTTCGATCCAAGAGATCAATCTTAGATTCCTAAAAAAGGGAGAAAAAGAGATGCATGCTGGCTGGGGAATTCTGGGAATTGGCCCACCCATTCTAAAATTCCCAAGGATCAGAAACCCTGGGTCAGAGTTAATACCACGCGTATAATATCGACCCCTTGATATTCACTGAATCATTTCATACCACTCCCCAACCTTTTCTTTTGGTTATACTTTCACTAAGCGTGTGAACAATCGGGTAGAATCCCAAGCACCTACCTGCCAGGCTGTGCTGCGGGTCTATTCCTGCCACTGACCCTGGCAGTTTTTGTGCCACATTTTGGGCACCATCAGATACAACGGATTTAAAAAGCAGCCACTGAACCAGGTGGATACCACTGCTATGTAAGAATCCATCCAATGTATTCATGTCAGTCAAACTTTTCTAGAAAATCGAGGCTGTTCACCTGAGGTTAGCAAAATCATCTCAGTTTTGTTGAAACAGGGTTTGGGATGCTGGTTTCTTCTTCATTTTTCCAAGTGTTCTATTTTCTCCCTCAATTTCTTTCTTCAACATACTTATCTAATTTTACCTGATTTATGAATCCCCTTCCTGTACACCAGAGGTCTCCGAACTTGGCAACTTCAACTCAGTCCACAAGTCTTAAAGCTGCCAAGCTTGGGGCCCCCTGCTTGATTATAGACCCAGCTTGATTCATGGCCTGCTCTGTGAGCACAGCTGCACGTCCCTGAGAGAGCCCTGAGAGGGCTGCCCCAGGAGAGACCTCTCCCCCGCAGGCAGGGGTGTTGGAGACCCACCTCTTCCGAAGAGCTCATTTTGCTGCCTGTCAATCCAGGGACCATGGGGTTCATCAGATGGATGCGCTTCGTGTAGCCCAGGGACGGGAGGTACTACACCAGGGAGAAAAACACACATACACGTGTCACACACAGACAATTCAGGCGTCACGGTTCCGAGTCCTGAGCTAGGGAAAGAGGAGGAAGAAGCAACTGCATCTCCGGCGTTTCCGCGGTGTTTGCCGCTCGCCCGCCTGCTGCTCCTTCATTCTGCACAGATCTCCGCTTCCGCTGCTCTGCCATACGCCCTCTGTCCGAGTCCTACCATCATTCCCTTCATCACAGGCCACGTGGTTTAACCCCCTCCCAGGGCTTAAACACCCTTCTCACCGGGGCTCTCCCCCCCCAGTGTGTGGCAACCCCAAAATGGCACGCAGGAACTCTCAGCCGGCGCAGTTTTGGAAGTTGACATCAGGAGGCTGAGAGGAAGAGATGTGGCCTTGCGGATGAAGAGACACGAGCAACTCCTCAAAGAAGGGAGTGGAAGGGGCGTCACAGGCCAAGCAGCCAGAGCCGCTGGTGGGTCAGCCATTGAGGTGGCTATTGTATTGCTGATCACCTATCTTAGAAGACTGCCTGCCTTCCCTTGAGAAATGGCCGGCGGGAGACCTACAGGTCTGGCCTCAAAGGTTCCTTCCCCTGAACAGACTAAGCTGGGTTGCTTCTTTCCTCTTCCTAAAGGGACTCCCTCCCCTTCAGCCAGAGGTTCCACCACACCTGGAGAGGAATTGCCAAAAAGATTCCCCTTCCTGACTGAAGCCCGAGACTTGGGGTGGGCCATGTTCAGCCTCTGAGTGGGGAGGGACAGCACCCCAGGAGGTTGTGCTCAACCCTTGTGGGGAGGCAAGAGCTCCTGGGAAATACCTTGGTCCAGCCAGGGGACACCAGGTAACAACCCAAGACAACAGGGCTGAGAAGGGGCACGCCTCTACTCCCACCTTTTCTGCAAAAGTGAAAATTTTTCTCTGATCCACTCCTCCAAACTGCGCGTCAACTTTCAGGTACTCTTCATCCAACGCCTGCAGCAAGAGCAAGAAAGAAGGACTCCTTAGGGACGTACTGACTTTAACAGAGCGCTCCCTGTTTTTTCTTCAGGAGATACGCGCAGGGGCCATAACCGAGGGGCAACGAGCTCCAGAAGCTAACCGGGAAGAAACGAGCATCTTTGTTCAACCACAATTAATGTCCTAGTTTTAGGCAGCCTGCTGGTTTTTAGTCTGTGGAAAATTTGCAAATGAAACTCAGCTTGGAAATTAATTCATGTATACCTCAAAAAGGTATGTTGCTTCTCAAATACTGAGATTATGGAAGTCCGAGGCTGAATCACTTCTAATAGACTTAAGCCCAGAGTGTTTCCGCTCCTCTTTTGCGCCATACGTGCCGGGCCCCGTACACCTACTATACATTCAGACTGTGCTTTTAAAAAGATAAACAGCTGGCTAAACACACGGATGTCTCTTCCTGTCTCTTTCTTTCAAGGACCCTGCAGTGGGTCCTTGAATGTTACTCTACCTGCAGCCCAGGGTAGAGAAGACCACTGAGGAGGGGATGCTCCACTTGTTTCACCACTTCTGCGCCGGCTTTCTTGGCATCATGCTGGGTGACCACAGAGGACAGTCGATAGACATCCAGGGTGTATTCCCTGGGCGGAGAGAAGGCAAGCGGTCAGTGTGATGAAATGTTCTTCCTTTGCCAAAGATGCAAATGGTCTCTGTGCGGCTCTGCTCTTGAAGGCTATTCAGAAGTCTCAATGGGTCCAATATTAATAAATTAATTTTATATAGCTGCCATCTCATACTCTTGACTTTGGGCAGCACACACAATTAAAAGAACAAGAAAAAAACAATCTAATAATTAAAAAAATCAAAGTATAATTCAAACAGAACTGTAGTAACAAAAACAGGAGAATAAAACCAATGGGATACCATAAACGGTATTGGACAAGCCTTGGTGTGCCCAAGTAACCCCTCTGCTTCACCAACTGCATAGGCTACCAGTTTGCTTCTGGGTGCGGTCCAGTCGTCCTCTAAGCAGTGGCAGAGGGTCTTCTGCCCTGAGGGACCCCATCTGTATCCCACTGTATCAGCCCAGTCAGTCCAACAGGGTTGCCACATCTGGATTCCATCAACTGAACAATAGCCTCTTGTTTGGAACCTGAAATGCACCTGCCCTGTAGCAGCACCTGCCCTCTGGAATGAGCTTCCCCTCCTCTGGAGGGCCCCACCTTTCACCCAGGCCCTCGGCGAGGGAGATCGAGACTCCTACCCAATCCATGCCACCTCTCAGTCATGCTTGGCATCTTTCATCCACCTTTTAGGTTTCGTTGATTTTTGTTATAAACAGCCCAGAGTCATTGGGAGCCAGGGGGTATGCAAGTATATTGAATAGTAGTAATTTAAAAAAAAATCTGTCTTTGGCATCAGAGTCTATTTTTCCCAGGACTTCTCCTGGCAGAAAGAGGGTGACTTCGGCCCGCCCAACTTACTTGCTGAGCTGGAAGTCGGTCCCTCGGACGAACCGGAGCTTTTCCAGGGGAACACCGATACTCTCCAGCATTGCCTTAATGACCGCCTCGTAATACTGAGTACGCAATTCCAGAAGTTCCCACGGAGCCTTCATGTTGTCTAGGTAGGCATGGAGATCAGCGAACAGGATAGTCACCTGAGAGACAGAGGGAAGTGGGGGGGCATATGGGCTTCCGTCTTTCTGGTTGGACAAGGGGAGGGGATGTCTCTTCCCTTGTCCCCCCGGGGGGGGGGGGGGGAGGTGAGTCTATGAAGTCAGAAAATCCCCCTACTCTTAAAGCCAAAACCAGAAGGACAAGGTGACCACTCTTCTTAATCCACCCGAAAGTAGGCAAAAATTACAAGGTTAGACCCCACCCCACCCCACTCTGGGCAGTTCTGGGGCCAGAAATGGGTTTTCCTCTGATTCCCACTGGTTGCCTTGTACTGAGAAATTGAGGGAAGGCTGGCCTTGTTCTCTCCTCCAAAACCCCAGAGAGAAAACAGGGGATTCAGAGTCAAGCACTGTTCACCTTGAAAGCTCTATAGAGTCTACCAATCTCACACTGCACTCCCACCACCACCTACTGGACTGAGAATCCTTAAAGGCTTCACCCTTCCTGAAACCTAAAGAAAAAACACAATCCCATCTATTCTATATAGCCGCCCAATGATCACGGTCATTACCAACTGCAGAAATTCTACCCGATGGATAAAAACCCTGAGAACAGAAGGTGATTTGGAAATTAGTTCCCAAGAATTTAGGATTCCCTTGTAGTTGTGAGTTTCGGGTCACAGGTTAAATAGTTTGGCCCAAGGAAATAAGAGGACTGTGCCCACTAAGTCAACAAGAGTCCGGAGACATTCAAGGTACAGAGCATTCTTCTGCCTCTTCTTCCCTTCCCACCCTCGAGAAACAGCTTGGAGTGATGTGTCTAGTGACCCAAAGTCCTACATGGGGAGAGGTCCAAGGAGACACATCAAGACAGCGTTTCTCGACCGTGGCAGCTTCAGTTCCCAGAATTCCCCAGCCAGCTTTGCGTATGCCTCCCTCTCCGGGGGTCTCCAAGATCCCACGGGGCCTCCAGACGGCTACGGTGGCAACAGCCACATGACTCTCCCGACAACCCAAAGCAAAGGCAGAGTTGGCTCAACCTCACAGCCAGCCTTGAGGAAGTCTGCGATCTTGGACATGGGCACGAAGTAGGCAATGTGAGGCTTGCCCGTTGTGGCTGTCCCCCAGTAAATCTTCAGCTCCCGCTCTTTCAGGATGGCTTTCAGTTTATCCTCTCCAAGAACCTCCTGAAAACAAATAGGACTGTTTAGAAGGTCTGCCGGAAGGAGAGATTTTACCGAAAGTCAAGATTAAATGCCTTGAAGGAGCAGATCAAGGCCAGCAGCACCCACAAAACACCGAGACCTGCAGCACAAGAAGTAAGCAAAGCTGCCCGGAAGCCCAAAGGATCCCATCGTGGCTCTTTCCTGCCAGGCTCCAGAATGACACCTTGTGCTGAGCAGAGCACTTGCTGCCAGCCTTGCCAGATGTAATACGCTCTCTTGAGATAAGCGCTTCAGGGATTCAGGAAGGAGCTCAGGTCTCCGTTGTTTCCTCCCCTTCGGGGATTCCAAGCTAGCCATTCCTACCTCCCCCTCCCCACTTCAGCCACAGATTCTAGCACATTCCCTGGTCCCTGCAGAGAGCAAGAAGTGAGGCCTCATCACTGCAGCCATTATCTTGATCAGCCCTTCAGCAGACAAGCAGCAAAATCAGGGAAGGCTGCTCATGGCGTTTCTGTGTTCTGTCCTCCTCTAAAATGAGGACCCAGATTGCTGGGGGCCATATGCTGACTCCACTTAGAGAGGGCTGTAGGGCAGTATGAAGTGGCATATAAGTCTAAGGGCTGTGGCTATGAAAGAAGCTAGCGATATGGCTAATCCTCTGAGGCCACCGCAGTCCCGTTCATTGTCTCTCCCCCAAATCACTACTTCACATTTTATTCCCCTGGGAATTCAAAATTCCAGCTGAAAGACTCGGCCCAAGCAGCCTATTATCTATCCTCCAGAAGCCTAAAAAAAAAAACCCCATTATTAAAAGTACTTGATGTATTTCCAAACGAAATCACTACCGAAGAATCCTGGTAACAGTTCCTGTTAAGCAGCCAAGCACTTTGGCTGCTAAGCGTATTTATTTTGGCCATTTTTAAAAAAATGCTCCTCATTGTTTCAGTTTTTATACTTCTGAAATCGTAGCCCCCCCCCCAGTCACGGATCGGAGGGGCGGCTACAGAAACTGAACGGGGGGGATGAAGAATGAGGCCCGTCCTGGCTCAGGGCTGGCAGCCCCCCAGGAATTAAGGGCGGATTCCTTCCCGCCTCGCCAGGTACCTGCAAGTTCCGGGTGACGAGGTGAAGCTTCTCCCGGGCTGTCAGTTCACCGTCCCCCATGGTGACTCCCCGCCGGCTGCTGCCCGACTCTCTCGGCGGCCTCCCGAGCCTGGAACCCAACGAAACGGCGGCCCTGAGTGCCGGGGAGGGACGCGCGGGGAGACGGGCGCCCGTCCGCAGCCCCAGCCCGCCCGGGCCCTTCCTCACGCGGGGGCAGAAGGGGAAGCGGGCGAGGCCAGGGGATTCCGGGCCCACCCAGGGCCGGGGACGCGCCCAGAACCCAGGCCGCCCTCCCTCCCTCCCTCCCACTCTCGCCGCCGCAGTCCCCCGGCGCCTCCGGGAAGGCCGAGCGGGAGGCGGGATGCCCGGCCGGCGGGGCCGAAGGCGAGGCAGCGCACCTGGCGCAGGCCGGTCTGCCAGCTGCGTCCCGCCGGGCGGCTCTCCACGCGTCACGCGGGCTGCCGCTCGGCGCTCCTCGCCTCGGCCTGGCGCCTCTTCCGCACGAGCACCGAGAGGCCGATCGGGGCCGCAGGGCGGGGAGGGGGCGTGGCCAGAGGGCGTGGCCAGCGCCTCTCCGGCGAAGATGGCGGCGGGTGAGTTGCCCGGGGCGGGAGGGGCGCGCCTGGGCCTCTCGCGAAGAGCAGCCGGGCGGTGGGCGACGCGGCTCTCGGCCCGGGGATGCCTTCGTGGTGGCTCGCTGAGGGGCTTGAGCTCGGTGGGGGCAGCTCTCCTGCCGCTCCTCTTGCAGGCGGGGGAAGGCCCTGCCGGGGGGCGGACTTCCGGGAGTATTCTGGCATGGGCGGAGAGGGGCGTGGCGGAAGGCGAGCGGAGGGGGGGGTAACCATAGTAACACGGGAGGTCGAAAGAGAAAGCGAAAGGAAGCGGGCGGGGCGAGGGCGGATGCGGCGGAAGGAGGGAGGCTGGAAAAGAAACGGGCTGGAATGGGGAGGCTTCTTGGTGGCCTTTAAATCGGTTCCGTAAAGATGGGACTGGGGGTCACCACCTGTGGGTTAAGAAGTACTTAAATCAGAGGTCTCCAAGCTTGGCCCCTTTAAGACTTGTGGACTTCAACTCCTAGAATTCCTCAGCCAGCTATCCTCAGCCAATCAGCTATGGTGGCTGGAGAATTTTGGGAGTTGAAGTCCACAAGTCTTAAAGTGATGTCTACTTTTAAAAGTCTATGCCTAGCATTTGTTCTGCCATGATTACATTTCCCTATCAAATAATAGAAAGGGAAGTCATAAACTTACTAATTTTTTTAAAAATAGTAAAATTTAAAATAGCCCACTGATAAGTGGACAGAAAGCCCAGAAATACACACAATGATAGTTTCCAAATATTAAACAGGAATTCATTCAGCAACATTTGAATTTTTAGCATCATCACAAATGTCTCTGGCATATCCCCTGGGCCTTCCTAGAAAGATGGTAGCAGTATTTTTGAAAGTATACCAGAAGCAAACGACTGTGGTGTAGAGACAGCATATCTGGAAGCTGGGATGCTGGTCAGGATCACCTGCGTTTTGGCATTCAGAGGGATTAACTGCATCCACTGTGGCTGCCATTTTATTATTAGCGAACCACCCGATGGCAATTCACAATATCCAAGTAGACCCTGAAAGTGTATTGTTTTGTTAGAAGCATAATTTAATTGCCATAAAGTTTATTTTATTGAATGTTGGTTTTGAAATTTTTTGGTGTAAACAAGTCACTGTTCAATAGAAATACTGTATCTTCCTTGTAGAGTAGTTACGACTCCCAGAAAATTAGGGCTTTGATGCTGAGAATCTTTTTCCTATTATATGGGTTGCATTACGAGTAGTCCTTGACTTAACAACAGTTCATTTAGTGACCATTTGGAGCACTGAAAAAAGGGACTTTTTTAGGGGACTGTAGGCTAAAACATATAAAGAAGGATCGCTGTAATTGGATGTATCTGGTTTAATGGGGAAAAAAAAAGGGCGACATGATAGCAACGTTCCAATATCTCAGGGGTTGCCACAAAGAAGAGAGTCAAGCTATTCTGCAAAGCACCTGAAGGCAGGACAAGAAGCAACGGGTGGAAATTCAGCCAGGAGAGAAGCAACCTAGAGTTAAAGAGAAATTTCCTGACAGAACAATAAACCAGTGGAACAACTTGTCTCCAGGAGTTGTGGGTGCTCCAGCACTGGAAGTTTCTAAAAAGAGATTGGACAGGCATTTGTCTTAAAGGGTATAGGGCAGGGGTGCCAAACTCACAGCCTGTGGGCCAGATGCATCATGCACTGGCCACGCCCATCCCCGGTTTAGCGAAGGCAGGGAAAGTACATCATGTGACAACAACGTGAAGCTACAAGTTTGACACCCCAGGTATAGCATTTCCTGCCTAAGCCAGGGGGTTGAACTAGAACACCTCAAGGTCCCTTCCAACTCTGTCATTCTGTTCTGTTAACTCATGACTGTTTTTCACACAGCTGTTGCAGCATCCCTGTGGTCACCTGATCAAAATTTAGCCACTTGGCAACTGACTCACACTTATGACAGTTGCAGTGTCTTGGGGTCATGTGATCACCTTTTGCAACCTTCTGGGGAAGACAGATTCATTGAACAACTGTGTTACTACAACAACAGTCTTTATTATAGGTCATGGACCAGTACCACAAACAAAAGCATTAAAAATAATACTAAAAACAAAAATAATGTGGTGGATTATCAACGGGCAGTTAAAGTTTGCCTAATTTTACATATAACAGCAAAATTTGGTCGCATTCAAAGAAACTACTTGGTACTTTGTACAGATACAATATACAATAGCAGATGCAATAGCAGTAGTTGCACATGAAAAGACCGATATTTTCTGGATATTTTATTAGATGAGGTGTTCTAAATTGAATATGTGAGTCCTTATTAGAAGATGCAGTATTGCAGCTACAGTTTCAATGGCCCCTTGTCCACAGTCTCGGCTCATAGGGTATTTTTTTGTATTGGCCCTCCAAAACTGCTGTGGAAAGTGCGTTGCTAAGGTTTGTGCCCTTTGGGCTTTGGGGATGGTTATTTGATATAAATACCTTGTTGCTTTAAAGGGAGGAGTCTGATTGCTCAAGCATTCTTGGGAAGACCAGCTGAATCTTGTTCAGTTTCCAGATCTTTAATATATTATCTAAGTGCACTAAGTGCACACTCATACCCCATTATTAAAAGAACTTCCCTGGATAGAACTGTGTTACTAAACAATTGAAGAGATTCCCTTAACTGTGGCAAGAAAGCTTGTAAAATGGGGCAAAATTCACTTAGCGATGCTTACAACAGAAATATTGGGCTCAATTATGGTCATAAGTCGAGGATTGCCTGCAATTGAATATCATATCACAAATAATATAGAGTGTCAAGTCACATAGATCTTTATCGGGACGCTGCCATTCCTGTGGGGAGGGGTTAATTCTAACTTTCTAACCATTTATAGTAGCTATATTTGCATCAACATTGGTTACTTTAATCCTGGATTCACACTGCACTAAGCCATAACATAACCACAATATCTGGGTTTGTGTAACTTAGTTATTTGCAAAACTAAGATTAAACATGGTTAGCATACTTGTACCAATACATCCTTTACAATATCCATATGATATTGTTGCTTATATCAATAAGTCATATAAAAATATTTCTTCTTTCAAAATGTCTTTTAAAAAATACAATTTTAGTTTTTAAACCATTTATACCTTTGAATTGGTATTGACTCCTAGTGACTGCCTGAACATGACTATGCAGTTTTCTTAACCAGGTTTTTCAGAAGGGATTCCCCACAGCCTCCTTCCTAGGGCCATGAGGGATGGCTTGCCCAAAGTCTCCCAGCTGGCTTTGTGGCTAAAGCAGGACTAGGACTTATTCTCCAGTTTCTAACCTAATCCCTTCACCACGACCCCAAACTGTCTCTCCTTTAAATACAGCAAAGTGTTGCACTTCTTTTAAAAAATACAGAAAGCCCTGATATACTAAGGGGTTAAAGTAGCAGTTTTCTTACCCTTACGTCTTGATCTTTTTGTCACAGTGGGCTGCTTTTTTTTCTTCTGTTTTCTTCATATTGTTTAACTTCCTCTTGTATATAGACTTTCATCAATCATCAGAATCTGACCTGCAGGTGAAGCCTAAGGAAATCACCTCCACTCCCTTTAGGGCTACCTGTTCAGGCTACCTATTGAAATGGTAAAGTCTATAGGAAGTCTGCAGCTCAGTGAGGTTAGCTTATTAGTCTAGTGCAGGGGCGTCAAACTCACGTCGTCATGTGACGTATTGTGACTTTTTCCCCCTTCGGTAAATTAGGGATGGTGTGGCCAGTGCATTACACATCCGGCCCACCGGCTGCAAGTTTGACAGCCCTTTTCTAGTGCAAGAATTATAAGCAGTAAGCAAGTGGCTTGCCTTTTAATTTGCACGATGAAGCCTCCTTCCAAGTACGTGGAATCTCAGGGGAAGAGGAGAAAAGCCGTGCTTGAACTTCCACAAAACCAAGAATCCGGGCAGTTGGAGACCACTTTGATTGAAACAGGGCTTTGGTTGTAAGATTATCCTTCCTTAGCCTTTAACCTGGAGAGCGGAAAGCGGGATCCTTCAAATGTAGTGGGCAGAAAAAGAGCATTGGGTCAAGTCGCATTCTCTGCTTCTGTAGCAGTTTCTTAAAGTTGCTTTCTCCAATGTTTTAGGTTCCAGGAGCAAGAGGCATTTAGAAGAGGCGTGTGAAGAAGGCTCAGCAGACACGAAAAGACGATGCTCTGTGACCTGCAGGTGCTCATCCTCTCAGGCACATTCTCTCAGCGGTGGAAGAGCAGCTTCTCCAGGCACTTTCCTGAGCAGCAGTGAATGCTTGGATAATGACTTGGATGATGCCATCCTGTCTCGTTCTGATGAGGAAAATCCAGATTCTCCCACCGGACTCTCTCGTGAAGCTGAGGATGAGCTCATAGCAGAGGATCTGGAAACCTCCCCATGTTTTGTAGCAGTTGAAGTGACTAGATATGAGGATGTGAAGAGTGGTAGCCTTTTAGCTTGTCCTGAATCTGCACGGCCTCTGAGGGCTCTGGAGGAGGTTGAAAGCACAAAACCTCTTCCTCAGACCAGTCCTTCAGCCAGCTCAAGTGAGGGGGCTGTTTTCACGAATGATTTGGTGAAGTCCTTGAATAAGAGCTCTCAAAATCAAATAGAGTTTGGTGCAAATTACAATAGTCTTAGGATTCCAGAAGCTGGTTCAGACGTAACAGCTTCTTTGAATCTGGAGAGAGATTTGTCTGGAAAAATAGAAAATGAGGCCATAAAGACGGAGACCAATGATTTGCCAGTAGGAAGCCAACTAGTGGCTGAACAGGAATCATTTGGTGCAGTGGCTGAACAGTCCTCAGGGAGAGAGACTTCCTTAAGTTACAAGCAGCTAAGAGGCACGAATTCAAGCAACCCTCCACCTGACTTGCATGCAGTATCCACTCATGTCAATGACCAAAGAAAGGATTGTGTGGAAGTTCCTGATGTTAAAAAAACCAATAGGTCAG